GGGAACACACTCTCGTCGAGTTGTTCACAAGCGCAACTTCACTTGCGATTGTGGTACCACGCGCTTCCCTTCGTCGGCCCCGTGCAACTTGCGCATCAACCCCGAGACTGGCACCAAGGGCGGTGTGCACTCTGAGGAGCCCGATGCGAATAACAAGTACAACATCAACTTTCGCAACCTTTTCTGTGGTTGCCAGGTTTACTATGACCCCTTCAAGCAGAAGGGCACCATGTTCCAGTGCCTTGGCCTGGGCACACACGAGACAGGTGGTTGCGGCGAGGACTGGTATCACCCTGGGTGTCTTGCCGGTCTTGGACCCGAGTGGTATAAGGACCTGCCAAAGGATGAGACCAAGACCAAAGTCAAGACAGATGATCAAAATGGCTTGCCTACCATCGTAGAAGATGCTGGGGCCGAACAGCAGAATGGCGACGTTGTGGCGGAAGCAGAACAAGGCGATGAAGCAGCTCCCGAAGAAGGGGAGGAAGAAGATGACCCTCCTATGCCGCCCGGCTTCCCCGACGAGGACGAATTCGAAGGCTTCATCTGCTATAAGTGCCTAGACGCCTACCCCTGGCTCAAGCGCTACGCCGGCGCTCCGGGTTTCCTCGCTCCTGTGTACTACAAGCCGCCCAGCGAAGCTTCAACCAACTCTCCCGAAGTGGCCGACATCAAGCGAGAAGAATTACCCGCTGCCCCCCTTAGCAACGGCAACTCCTCCTCCAAGAAACGCAAATCCTCAGACGATCCCTCCGCCGACGACGCATCTGACTCCCAAGTCATGAAGCGCCCCCGAAGCGAAGCCTCCCCCCTCCCAACCCCCACTGATTCTCAACCTACGCAAGACCCCTCTAAAGCCACCTGCAAACTCTCTTCCCTCCCTCCAGCCCCTCCCGGCCGCTTCTCCCTCTTCTTCAAATCCGACTTCCGCGCCCACCTCTGCCATTGCCCCCAATGCTTCCCCCTCCTCACCCCTCACCCACACCTCCTCGAAGAAGAAGAAACCTACGAACCCCCCCTCTCCTCCGACGGCGGCGACCCGACCAATCCCCAAGGCGGTACCTCCTCGGGCGGATCACTCTACGACCGGGGCGAATCCGCCCTCCGCACAATCGACCGCGTGCGTGCTATTGAGGGCGTCATGGCGTACCAGCATTTGAAGGACAAGCTAATGCCGTTTTTCGAAGAGTTTGCGCGCAGTGGGAAGGTGGTGAGCGCGGAGGATGTGAAGGCCTATTTTGCTAAGTTGAGGGGCGATGAGGAGAAGGAGAGGATGGCGAGGGTAGGGGCAGAGAGGAGTCGAGATGGTCAGGGGGAAGGGGATAATCAGAGGGAGCAGAGTGGGTACTAGGATTACAATGGGATGGGTTTGAATGGGATGGATTTGGAATGGAGTTTATGGGTTGGTTGGTAACAGGGCGTTGAGACTGGGATAGGTATGGTGGGATTGTTTTAATATGGGATCTTGAAAGGAAGGATGCGTCTAAATAAATGGGCTGGGATGGTGATTAGGTCGGTACGGATACTTCGTGAAAGAAGGGCAACTTGATCTTGCTTTACTCGGCACGTCTTGGTGGTTGTTTCACTGTCGAAGACTTACACACACACACACACACACACACACACACACACACATATATATAATGCTTTTGCCGACGCTGTTTGTTTGGCCTCGTTGACTTCAGTTGATTCCGAGCATACCAATCATCTTCGATGGATGCCCATAGGACACATGTATTATGTACACACTAGGTTGAAGTCATGGCTGTTATCTCTTCCAAACGCCACACAACTAGGTAGCTGAACCACTGATCCAGACCGTATGTGCCTGGCATTTATGTAGGTAGGTTATTCCCCCTTATCCAACCCGAGTGCTGTTTTTGTAGGCCCCTAACTCCCAAGATACTCCTACCTTACCCTATCCTTAATCCCGGCTCCTGATGCCCATCCTCCAGTTCACACACTTTGATACATAGGCCCCTAAACCGACTGCTGCCCCTTCACAGTCCGCTTTTCCTTTCCGTGCCTCGTTCAATCCGACTCAAGAGGTCACGCTGTCCCCGGCGGCGGGGCTGGCGTCCCCGTCAAAAAGAAATCCAGATCACTTCCCGTCCCACCAAGTAATCCCTCGTTCTCAGCAAGCTGCTCCAACAAGCTGAGGAATGGATCTTTCTCCTCTCCTGGACCGCCCGTTGTGCCCGTACTATCCGCAGTGGTCGCTGGACTCGTATCACTGGTTGTAGAGACACTACCACTTGGGCCTGTAGCATTGATGTTCCCGACAGTAGTGTTGTTGACCTGTCCTCCTGGCTTATCCTCGCTACTATTCCATCCCGGTGGCGTAGTTGTGGAGAACGTGTTGGCGGGTATACCTCCAAACAAGCCATGATCGAACCCCTGACCGTTGGCTGGCCCAGTTGTTGGACTGCGTAGGTGATGGGTCCCGCTGCCGTTGCCTGAAGCACTCAGACCGAAGCCTGGCGTTGCTGTTGAGGCGCTGTTCGCACCACCGGCGTTGCCAAACGTAGTTCCCAAGCCATTGTTATGAGGCACGGGCGTCGGATGATTGTTCGCATTCGCCGTAAACCCTCCAACAACCTTCTGTGGTAACCCATGCGGCGACGTCAACGGCGTAGGAGAATGCATCATGCTGGGCGATGGTTGCGATGGCATGGTAGGAGTGGCGAACATCGAGCGACGAGCGCTACTTGGGGTCGACATAGCGGGCGTCGGAGGGGTATTAAAAGCTGTGTTGTTGAGAGAAAGTAAGCATGACAACTCAGGCCTCGGCCGGCCAGACTGCATTGAACTCTTCCTCTTAAGGGGGCTGGGGCGAGGAGGTCCAGGATCGGATGTCTGGTTGAGATGGGACGTGTAAACAGGAGGTTGGTTCTGGTTCGGGTTCGTGTCAGGGGCAAAATCGAGCACTACATCGCACAGGCCGAGATTCGCCGTGTCGAAGCTGAAGCTGGGGCCTCCTGACCCGCCGCCCATGTTCGAGTATCTGTCGAAAAAGTCTTCCAGATGGAAAACGGGTGAGTAACGCATTGGGTTGTGAGCGAGGCTCTTCACAAGCTCTGAATGCGCGTTGTACATCTGCTGAAGCGTTTCGCGCTGGTGTTGAACACAGGCCCAGGCAAGCCGTAGTTCGCTAAGTTGCTGCATCTCTCGTGACAAGAAGTCGGCTGAGGAGGCGAACACGTTCATGTCCCCAGCGTTGCCAATGCGGCTATAGTGCGCTCCGTGGATGTGAACTGTGCCAGCTGTGCAGATGCAATAGCCCACAAATGCCGGCCATTCAATCGACCCTGCTTGCCTGCCAAGCTCTACCAGCTCCGTGATGGCGTTTGCATGTAGGAAGCACAGGTTCGTAGCCTCTATCTGCCATGACTGGTGCTGTCCAGACCCAGCCAGCTCTGCTAAGTCAATCGGTAGAAAAGGTCGGTAAATCAGGCAATGAATGAGGTGGTAGATGAGCTTGCTGAGTACGAGCATCGTGGAGTCTGGCCGGCGAAACAAAGAATTCAGGCTAGAGAACACTTCCTCAGTTCCCGAAGCCCAGATATCCAGCTCCTGGCGGATCTTGGAGAGGTTGGATAGGGAATGCCAGGGGAAATGGGAATCCCCCTTAACACCGCCAGCAGCCAGATACTGATTCGTGATGCCAAGGATACGACAGATATCAATTAGCATGGCACTACTCCCTTGATGCTTCTTTCCTCCGGCTTGTATGTGTTGAAAGTTGGCGTAGCTCTGGAAGAAGTCGCCCTCGATCGGCAGTGAAGCTGGGTTGGGCGACCAGCACGGTAAGCGCAGAAGAATGGCGCGATCCGAGATCAGACACGGACGTCTCGAGCCGCAAGACAAGAACCTATCCAGCAAGTAGCATGTCCAGAACAGCCGCCGTCGTGTTTCTCGTTCGATAGAAGTAACGCGCGCATTGATGTCTAATTCCCTGTGCAGCTCCAGAGCCATGGCCATACCAACGGCGCTGGCTGTGAAAGAGATTAGCGCCAATCCTGTTGACAGAGGACGGATATCCCGTACTTAACAACATGTAAGCCTTCTTGCCTTTGCCTTGGGCAGTGAAGGCTGTTACGAGGAGGATAAGAGCCTGGAGCGCATCCACAGATGGCTCATCGGTGTCAATTTCTCGTCTTGCTTGCGCAGAGTACTGTTCGCTGAGTTTGGCAGCGGCCTGGAAACCATTAGGGTGAGGGGCGCACCGTGCTGCTACTGCATAGAGCGCATGAAGCAGATAGTTTGGGAGTTGGTTAAGCTGGAGACGTTGTCTAAAGGTAGACTCGTCAAATATATGAAACGGCTTGTCGTGGAAGCGTGAAAAGTATATGTCTATTAGCGCTTCATGGGGCACTTCTGGAGGTGGCGAGCTGGTGAAGTCAGCAATTGGAGTATGGGGCAAGCGCTTGTTCGGACTGACCTCGATGGTGCAGGTGAGAGAAGCGAATCTTGGGTGCTGTTGTTCCCTTCGCTCTTCGCAGACGTGGTACCTGCTTCTTGAGGGACGCTGGATCCTTCAAGGGCTTTTACAGAGGCATCGTCAGACGTCTTTGCCTCGCCCTCTGTTTTCTCTTTCAACCTCGCCTCCAGTCCGTCAACTCTTTTCAAAAGAGCTTCCAACACGTCGGTTTTCGGGCCCCTTTTCTTAGGGACAGCATCTATCTACTCGTCAGTTGGAGATATCTCTTGCCAACCAGCCGTTGTTCGTAGAAGGCTATAACATAAGGTTTGCCAGAACGTACCATAGATACATGGACACTGAAATACCTGGCATGCCTCACAAGACGGACGAAGACGGTTGCACTTGATCTGCAGCCAGAATTTAGTGCCATGTCTTGGCCATACGTGTACCGATGACATACTTTTCGCTTTCGGCACGACTTGCAGTTCATGGCTTCTCGAGGCTCGTTGATGGGTCGCCTACTAGGAAGGCGTTCGATGCTGACTCGTGGCACGGGGCCCGGTGGCATCCGGGGCAGGGCTGCCACTACCCCGGGGCCGAATGGATGCGACATGGCTTGCCTGCGTGCTCTCAAGACGATGGGGAGAAGTAATGGCGTTGAAATTTCGATCTTGAGTGTCGTCAAGCTGAAGAGCAAAAGCTGCTGCTACCTTCGAGGCATGGCGTTCTTTGACAATGACTCGAGAAAGAAGAAGTTGGTACGCCTTGTCCGAAAGAGAGTGCTGTTGAATGAAGCTCGAAGATGCTTGATGCGAGTGTGTTGAGACAGTATTTCCTGTCAAGGGCGCCGAGATTTCTTTGAAAGTCGAGAGAGAGATTGTATAATCTAGTCTTCCAGGTGAACAGAAAAGATTCGCTCTGACCGGTCAACTCGATGTATGATGCGGCTTCGAGCGCTCAAACTTTTGAGCACAGGAGGTTTAGGACCTTGGGTTAGTTGAGAAGCTCACGGCTCACAGCAATGCACCAATTCTAGCGCAAGGCGGATGAACATCTGCGAGTTCAGTTGGACCTCGACGAGACCAATCTCAGGGGCTACTATCGAGGAACGACTGCTTGCTGACCGGGCAACAAGCTGGAGCAAGTGGACGAGTTTGGCGAATCGCGCCCAGGAGGGTCACGGAGAGCAAATCGTGTGAAAGGCGGGTTGAGTGGGCAGGCGGCAGGCGGCAAAGCGGCCGGCTATGTGTAAGGGGCCGCGGTGTCTCCTGGGGATTGGGCAAATTGATACCGGCCCTGTCCTGGATTTTAAACGGGGACACGCTCACATTCATCCAAGACCGGGGTTATAGGTCATGAGACATAGCAATTATCCAGTGCAGCTTCAGCCAGCGTCAATCGGACTGAACCATGGAAGCACACATGTACGGGCGTAGGCTTGTCGTCGCAGTCCGTGGTGCTTGATGAGAAGGTGAGCTGCGGGCTGCGGGCTGCGGCACTTAGACCAGCGTCCAAGCAAGCTTAATCGAAGTTGCGCGCGTGGCTTGTGATGCAAGAAGATGTTGGATCTGTTGGACCGAAGGCAGCTGGCTGTCAACTCTCTCAAGCCGCATATGCTCCGATGCAGGGATCAAAACGTTAGATATACATATTTTTGTTCATCGCATGGTGAGAGAATCGGCGTCGTTGTCGTTGAAAATGAAGAACAAAGACACAACAGCCCTTACGTTAACCCCAGAGTCGCAGTGCTTATGTCGGCTATCTTGGAGAGCATTCTGTGCGCATATATGTAGCTACATTGCTGGCCACGGACAGGAGCATGCGATCCCGCACAAACTATTCCCAAGAACATGGCGCATTTGGGGAGGAGGAGGGGGGGGGGGCCCTAAGAGACGCAGACGTTGGGATGGAAAGCTGTCGTGCATTGGATGGCTTGGATGTGCGGGGATGGCACCTTGGAGGTGCGCTGAGTTGGAGGCCAGACCTGCCAGCTCGCCAGGTGCCAAGTCTTCAGTGGATGAGGGAGGGGCCTGATGAGGCCAATGGGGCCGATGGGGCTGCAACGGCAGCTCCCTTCCCGCTGAAGGGTCCCCTGTGGCGAGTCTGTGGGGCCGCTGAGATAGAAGCAACAGCGCGGTTCGCGGCTTGCCAGCTTTCAGCTCACTCACAGCTGCCAGAAGCTTGACTTCTCGCCTGCACCGTTGTTCCTGTGTTCCTGGCCCTGACTTTCAACGGCCAACGCGGCTCATTTTACGATAGTCCGAATCCAGGACGTCAGGCAGAATATGCAATTGCCAGAATCAGACCGTATCCGCCGAAAAGACAAACAGACCAATCAGCCAGGCTCACGTACATTCCATGCTGGCGCCAGCAGCGAAGTGCTGTTAGCCGGTGCCACCTCACGTGGCTACTGGTGTCCAACAACGAGCTGGCCCTCAATAATGCTTGTCAACAACCGATTCTCCCAGAGAACCCCGACGATCATCCAACCGATCGCCGTTAACGGTCCTCTGGGTCTGGAGCCGTTGATCTGCTGTGCGACCTACCCTATCTAGAAATTATAACAGGACCGCTATGGAAGCTCTTTCGAGAACCCGAGGAGGTCCACTCAATCTGTTTCGCCTTCTTTTCCTCTCACAAGCTTTCCCAAGCAGGTCGTTAGCGCGATCTCAAACCAATGGGAGCCCATTATTCAAGCCCCGAACATGATTTCTGTGACATTCTTTACAAACAAGCTCAGACTGCACGCCACGTCTTCTGCAGGAACCTGGATCTCGAGGACGCGAAGCATCTACCAGCGTTGCTTTAGCTACTATGCCGCTACATAAACAAGTAATATCGACGTCCCGGCATCTTCCAGCAAGCTTTCGGCCTTGGAACCTTTTTCTGGCTTACAAACCCATCAAGGTCATGGAAGTCACAATATTCAACCGCCCCTGCCCTCCAATTGCAGCTCATGGCCCGAGATTGAAACCGCCCATCGTCGGTCTGTGTGCGGAGTGCTGCTACACTGAGCATCTTATGCCGCTCGCTTAAGCACCACTCTGCCCCCTTCGCTGTACCCCGCAAATCTCGGCCATCAAACTCCTCCCTTCCTCTTCGGCTGCTCCCCAGAAGTCGGCGATCCTTGGCACCTTACGGACTAAAGACGCCCGCCCTTGTCGCCGACCTCGCCACGGCATCAGCCCCTGACATTTCGGTCCAAGGCTTTTTGCGGTATTCGACTGACGCACCTTGCAGCCCTACAGCACACATCGTACTTATGCTGACCAGGAACAGGGTGTGTACAGCAGCGATAGATGCCGCGCGCTTAGTTTGGCCCTGGAGGCCGGTATCGATGTGGCAGGGAGGTTGTACTCTGTCGGTGTCGTGGTGACCTGTCCAGCGTCCAGTCTTCAGTGTAACCATGATATCGGAGCTAGTCTTTGAGCCTGCAAGGAGCCCGACGACGATCGGACGCTAAACCAATGTCGTTTATACACAAGCTCTGCACAAGCGCATCGACAACGACCAACCGTGGTACAACGGCTAGGGTTGCTCTTCACCACGCGGCAGACGGAGATCCATCTGCCGAACGCCAAGCATCGCCTCATCCATCTCCGGCGGTATGCCCGATCTTCCCCTTGTCCTTCCTGCTCACCACCTCTACAACGTATCGGTCCGAAGCTTTTCCATAACGTCAGCCTAGAAAAATGCCTGCTGCTTTGTCAGCAGTTGTCAGTTGCCCACCGCTCGGTTGCTCGGAAGCGTATCGCGGGATGTCTCGAAAGGGGCATTAGGTCCAAAAAAGTTGTGGTCGAACAAAGAACAAGGGGCTCAGCAAGGTTTGTGACAGCAGGTGTGAGCCTTTACTAACTTGGCTTAAGATCAGGTTCTGAAAACGGTAAGAAGAGCTGACATGAACGCATCATAACCCCCGTATCGGCACTGTCCCAGCCTTTATCAGATTCCCCCCCCCCTTTTCCTAACTTACGGAAGCAGCAGGTGGTAATCTCCTCCGGAAAGCTTCTCAGGATATCGAAGGAACCTAATTTGTCAGCGTCAACAGTTGCTCGTTTGAAATGTTCAGCAGAGAGTTGAGGGGATCGAAATACGCTTTGTGTTTCCAATCCAATGTTGAAGATGAACGTTTCATGTCATAAAGTTTGACATCGGGCCGCCATGTGCGATGGTTCCTGTAAGGCTGGTCTCTTCTCCCTGGTCAGGAACAGTACGGTTCACCGGAGTTCTCCTTCTCTCCACTTCCCGCAAGAATTTATCCTTGCGAAAGCATCATGTTTGACCCAGGGCCATGGTTTGGCATGGAGTTTGGGGCTCATCCAGGCCTATCCGCGGCTCCCTATCGGGCTTCTTGTCTATTTCAGCGAAGATTGACGCATGAGCTGAAGGCGAGAAACTCGTATCTGCTGGCTGCAACGTAAGTTGTCCCAGACCCACGGAGCGTATGATTCCATGGTCCTTCCTGGGATGAATACCAGGGACTGATCGCTTGAACCTAAGCGGCGGCTTCCTGAAAGGAGGAACTGCGCAGAACGAGAACCCTTCATTGTCGAACTGGACAAGCTTATTGATCAGTTCGAGGGGCATAGATTCAGGCCATGACTGTTGACAGTCAGGCAAGGATGGCCTTCGTGTCCTCAAAACCTGATCTCAACTCCCTCAGGGTCCCATATAAAAATATCGGCGCCGCCTCCTTCCACACAAACTCCTATTGTCGATGGGCTTGTAGGTAACATGGTAAATTATCCTGGACTAAGTCTGGACATACCAATATAGTTCTGCGCGATCTCTACAGCGAGACTCGTATTATGTATGGTCCACTGCCACTTCCGCCTCTCGTAGAGAATCATTCACTACCTACTTTCCTACCCTCGGTATAACCAATACATACCGCCAATGATTTTTGGATATTCTTTTTTTTTTTTGCTCCTCCTGTGTGACTGACATTCACCCCACACTTTAGTTCGACGCGAAAGTCGATCACCCCTCTTACTGCATGCATTTAGTCCTCTTTCGGAAGCGGCACCCGAAATTCCGTCCCCAAAAGGGCTCGCTGTATGGCATGGAACAACATACACAGAGAGTGATTAAAGACATTCAAAACGATGTATTGGCATCCGAGGTAACCTCCGACTGTTTACCTAGAATGTATTTTAGCACTTAGACCTGATCTGTTAGGTGTATATATGGAGTAGCTACCTACCTAGGCAGAAGGAGAGGGGATTCAACCTCGGCAGCGTAGAGCATCGGCTCCAACATCTTGGTATCGTTCAGGCTACTCATTCCCCAATTCTTTTCTCTACGCTCCTGGACAATGTTCCCTTTTCCCTTCGTCAACTTTGTAGGACAGAAAAAGTCGTGCTTCAGAGTCGGTAGAATCAAGACAAGGGGTAATGATCTATATGGGGATAGGAGACAGTAGGCAGACGATGCCGGTATCTCATACATTCAGGCACTTGAGGTTGGTAACGGGCAGGTTGGTGCGAAATCTCGTATGTGGAGAGTGGTGTGGGTGTATAGGTGAACAGATAGCAACGCAGAGTCCATTTCCTTCAATATGTACCTCGGTCACCCTAGCCTTCCATCTCATCTCTGGGAGCATTACGTATCGTCCCTCAACCTCTGGCATAATCCTGCTCTTGCTCCCTCCCTGCTATGCTCTGATTGTCAAATTCCGGATAGCGATGTATGTTACTTTGTTCGATAGTGTCCTCTCACTCCCAGTACTGAAGACTTGATTTTTTTTTGTATCCTCTCTAAATGCCCCCCATTTTTATTTTTTTTTTTCAAAAGATCATGTCAAGTTGTCGACATTTTCTGTTGCCTTTGAACTCCCAAGTCAAAGCTTCCAACTGTGTTTCGATTGTTGTATCCAACCGTCCCCCAAACTATCAGGTACGTCCCGACTGAATAGGTGGTCGGTGATATGTAGGCTGACTGTGTGTGCTGCAGGGTATGCCGACGTGATGGGAACTATCGGAGAGTGTTCTCAGGTGACCTGTATTGGCCGATCGAAGCTCGCATTTTACCCAAGCAAAGTGATCTAACCATTGAGGAGATGGTCCGTTTTTCAATACTCACGTGTGCTTCGACCAGTCGCCTTGGTAGAATATCGTCTCTGTGAGGGTCAGATGTCATACAGCCTTGCTAATGTTCAAACTGATTATATCCAAACTAATAGGTCAGTTCATGAGCTCATTCCTCACCCACCCTTGTCACTTAAACCGAAAACCCAACCTAAGGTCAGAACAACGTCCTCCCACTAGCCAACCGGACAAAGCTATACGGCACATTCTGCCCAACCAACAACCTCAGCGTCTCGACCGTCGTAAAAGCAGCCACATCCGCCGCGCCGTACGCCGCAAACCCACTCTGCTCAGCAATCACCGCTGGATCGCCCCCTTTGCCAACCGAGTTCATCCCACTCCGGTCGGCCAGGTCAAGGAACACTTTTTTTGCACCTCCACCTGATGTCGAAGAAGATGATGCAGGATTTCTAGAGCCGAATAACCTCACCAGCATCCCGACTAAGGCACTCTTCTCCGGGCCGAGGGCGCTTACCACAAGGAATGGGGACCCGGCTCCGGAACCGGCAACCTCTGCCCCTCCGCCGATTGTTCGAGCACGTTGGATACTTTCTAAACTGGTAAATGGCTCAATTAAGAGGTCCTTTCCGAACGCGGGTGGCGTCTTGAAGCCGACGGTGTACACTTTCCCGACCTTGAGTGCTTTTAGAGCAAATAGCGCGCTAGCAGCGTCTTCTGCTGAGGAGGCTAACACGACAGCGGCACAGCCAAAATATGCTGATGGAGCTAAGTCACGGATTAATGTGCTAAGTATACCCTTCCATGAGGCGTTGTCCAAAATCAGGGATGTGTTGGGAGGGAGGCCGGATTGCATCGCCCCGGATCCTGTCAGAGTACTACTTCCTGTGAGGGAGTCACCCCCGTTACGAGTATGCGGCGGGCTGGAGGGGATCGAGGCTGTGGCAGATGCCCCAGTGCTGGATGAGGCCTGGCGCACGACGATGGTGTCAACCACGCCGATTAGGCGAGCAGCTTCACTCAGGACAGGGCCAACGCCGTTGTTCAGCGAAGAGAGGAAGCTGCTGTGGGAGAGAAGCGATTTTATAGAGACGGCTGGATTGAGGTAGGCACCACCAAAATTACGTTGATTGACCCAGGCACCGATGCAACCTGCCTTTGGTTGCCACTCGACGACGACAAACTGGTGAGGGAGACCGAGCTCGTTGAAGCACTTCTCGTAGAAAGGGGCTTGGGGTGTTGAGCTTCGCATCGCAGGGCTCGTGATACCGTACATGTTCTTCTTGGGAAGCTGGCCAAGTAGAGCAAGTGCTTGGTTGATCTCAGCAGCGCTCATCTGACCTGGGGCTGCAATGATGGGTAATAAGGGGTGAGTGATGGGTGTGAAGCATTTATTGAGCGTCCGAGAAAACTGTCCCGTCTCGCCCATGTTAACTGCTGACAAGGGCGGTCCGTTAGGATGCAGAGATCGTATCTTGGACCGGAAGTACTCGAGCTCAAAGTTCTCGTTATGGTCGTTGATGATAGCGATCATCTTCACGATGTCCGCATACTTTTTGGACTCTTCGAAAATCGCTTCTGCCTGTGTTGAGGTCCACTTGAAAGTGCCAGAGAAGTCGTGGAATGCGGACATGATGCGGCTGTTGCCGCGCTGCTCGTACAGCTTCTTCCTGATGCGCTCGGGGAGCCAGAGCTCGACATCGATGTATTCAATACCCCACTGGATGGCTCGGTAAAGATACTCGTAGTACAAGTCAGGATTATCCATCGGAAACCGGCCGTTTTCTTTGGTACATCTTGTCGTGAAGATAATTGGCAGTTCGGTTCGCTGACGGAGCAGCATTACCTGTTCTCCCACATAGCTCAGGCTTGGGATCTCGGAGAAAGTGCCGTCGCCGCGAGGCTCTTTCAGAAGGTCCACACGGATTTCAACAGCATCCGATCCCACAGTCAAGATGTCGATGTTCGGCAGGGCAGCATGAACGTCTGGGAATGTGGTTGAGATGAAGTATGTTCGTGGCTTTGCCATAAGCGTCTCGTGATGGGATATTTGCCCCAGAACATGAGAAACGAATCGAGCAAGATCTCGTCGGAAGAAGGGGGTTTCGGTGTAGAGGAACTCATAATCACACTGAGCCGAAAGATAGACGTCGGGGGGCATCCCTAAGGTAGTGCAGTGGGCGTTGATGGCGACAACCAGCCTCCTGTCCCTCTCCGCAATATCGACCTTCGCACTTTCTGACGGAAGCCCGACAACCCAGTCCTGATCCTCTGCCGTTATCTCCTTGAAACAGGTTTTTAGTCGAGATCGTTTCCCTAAAACCTCGGCGAATGTGGCAACGATTTTATCCTGGCCTGGTCCATAAATGACCACGACAATCCTGGTGTCTCCTCTCTGAGGGCCACTTCCAAATGCCAGATCAGGGGCAGCCGGAGGTGATTCTCTTCCCATATCAGCGTCACTGTGATATGTCTCGTCGTTGATGCTCTGGGGCCCGGCTGGGGTCGGCACGGGCTCGAGCTGCTGTACTGCTGCCATATCTGCAGCCGACAAATAAAAACTTCTTGCTCAAAAACTGGCCGGGCTTCGAAGATGCTCGGAGCCTCCAGGGAGTTGTGCGCGTGAGTACTGACAAATAATTAGCCTGGTCGTATGCTAACCTTTGTGGAAGCTCCTTGATCCCAGGCCACCCTTTGGTCTCGGAAATCGACAAAGAGGAAACCAGATGACGTTGACAAGGCCGAATATTCATGGCCTTAGACAGTCCCCGGGCTTGTGAGGGTATTTGCATGCCGTGGCTGCTAAGACTCTAGGGTGAAAGAAGGGCGCAGAAAACAAACAAACTGGCGTGCCAAGAATGACATATAAGCCGCAAGATGACTGTCTCGTTTTCCCTTCGAACAGGACAACCACTTCGTTGGGCCAGAGATGGCACTGCGGGCTGTGGATCTTCCGCCCTCAATACTCGTCAGCCGTCCCGGCGGGATTCCGTCGTTGGCTGTTGCTCCTTGCTCCTGTCTTGGCAGGCGGCGGTCGGGAGGCGGGAAGAGTTGTCGGGAACGACAGGTCCAGGAGTGGGCTGAGGAAAGGTGAAGTGTAAGGAGGGCGGTGGTAGAGCACCGATGGAGCGAAAAGCCAGCGTTTCTCTTTCGACGAGGGCAGGCAGGTCTTTGAAGCAAGCAGATGATCCCAAGACCCAAGACGCAAGCTGCAGCGTTCCTCAAGCACCAGGCTTATATTGGTGTTTCGGCATCAGAGCCGCACCCGCGCAAAACAGCCGGAGACACGCAACCGGAAAAAGAAGGACGAAACGATAACCTAGCAGGCGAGCAGCAACAACAAGCGAAGATGCGGCGATAACATGCGACAACAAGTATATCACCACCACACTGGGACCTGCTGTGACATGTGGATGTAGTAGGCAGCAGGTAGTAGGTATGGACAGATGCCAGATGGATGGGATGGCTCTTGGGAACAAACAGATCCCGGGAATCGGAGAGGAGGGTGGTGCAGGATGGACAGCTGCTGTCTGCAAGGCATGCAGCACAACACGGGGGTCAGCCTTTGGTGGGTGGTAGGGGCGGCTTCCAGATGTTCCCAGGATGTTTATCGGAACGGTTCCCGGGACGACGACGATGGAGGAAGGTTGGCTTTTTGGCTGGCTGGATGAAAGTCGCAGTCGCGGTCGCCAAGAGAAAATGAGGGTCGAAATTTGGCCGGGCCAACGACCGTCGCGTCTGCCGCTACCGTTACTCAGAACGGATGGAGATCTCAGCGAAGGGTCGTTCCAGACATAAAGATGCAGAGGCGCGGAAAGCCATTAAGGCTGATGAAATGGGCGGATGGGATATGGGCGAGTGGGCGGCCGCCGTTGATACTCCCTCAAACTAAAGGCGTGAGAATAGACACGAACCACGGTGAGTAGAGTTGACGGCTTCTCAGCGACAACAAGCAGCGATTATGGCGATAGGTGAGTGGTGTTGGATTCCATAGAGACAACCCAGGGAGTTAGGCACGGGAAGAGGCCCTGCAGCAAAAGCTGAGATGCCGCCGTGGGGGCAATTTTGGGGGATTGTCTGTACGCTTGGGCTTGGCTTTGGGGTCAAGCCCAGCAGAGCCTGTCAGGAAGAACAGATGCCATCAACAAGCTATTCCAACCGTCGCCGTTGACGCCCTCGACTCTTGCCTTGAAGTCACATCACTTCTTGCGCGGTTTGCTCGTCAGATGCAATAGATTTGCACGATCATGGTCTCTCAAGCTCACTGGTGCAGAGTTCCGCAGAATGACGACTCAGCAGGGAAAGAAACAGTATATTTGTTACAGAAAAGGACACCCAATTGAGCCAACAGATAGAGTACCTATGAAGCAGTGTTGAGGAGCTCAGCTTGCTGCCGGCTGCCGTGTCGCTGCAGCATCTAAACAGCCAAGTGAGCAGCGAAAGTGGGCTCTGAAGACCCTGCCTGTCCTGTCCTGATGACTGCCCAATGTGGGGATGGACAAGCCACCCCGCATTCTCCCCACAATTTCTCCAGCCCTGGAGAATTTGCTGTGTCGAAGTCCGCCAATAAATGTCCGCCCCACCATATCTATGCCCCTGGACCCTTCTGTGTTCATGCAGTGCCAGTGTCAAGCAGACCTGGTCATGAATTTTCCACAACAGGTTGAACCTCATGATCGTTAGTTCCAGCAATTGTCATCGAGGACTACTGCTGTGGCATTGTTCATGTGTTAAATGGCAGGGTGTATCTCTAGATTCTCTAGATCAGTCCAAGTTCACTTGCTTGGGTCGGTAGCCCTTCCCAAGTCCCCAACCAGTGGGATTATATGAGGATCAGATCAAGTGCTATCTCTCGAGTTTCCGGCCGGCATATTCATATCCCACTGATAACATTTTTCCACAGCCGGGACGATGTAGAACCTCGATAAACATTGTAATTCACACACAAAGTTTGCGATCCTAGACGTAATCACCAAAGAGACATTATCTCCCCAGAAATTTTTTTTTTAAAAAAAAGAGCCACTGCCGGCACCGTTGTGACCACATTCCGTCTATGAAACGGTGTCCCTTCCTCACTGCTTCTCACATCTACGGCAAATAACGGCAGCTCCCCCGCCTATCCATCTCAATGGGCAAGATTATCTCGTTTTGCTTTCAGGCTGAATAGGCGCATATAAAATTCCCGAACGACATGCACAGTCACTTACTCATAACACCCGCAGAAAAGCCACCTGCCTACACCAACAAGCGCTGGCTGCATGGGTGTTCTGGAAAGCTGCCTGTTGCATCATCATCATGATGATTGACTGCTGCTAGGAGAAATATCACTACCTGCGGATATACCACAAGAGCCGTGATCTGAACCGGTTTTGCCTTCGCTTTCCTCATCTGGATAGTCTGCTATTTGAGTAATTCTCCGATGCTGACGGGCTGGCGGAGTCGTATATCCATGGAAAGCATAGACACACCTGGATACCTAAGGGCAGTTGGAGAGAACCGTAGATCAGAAATTCAAGACAGCATGATCCTGAAGCATTTATTAAATGCACTTCAATAAATGTCAAGAAGGACCCAAACACGGCATGACACTTTTTATCTGTGCTACATAACCCTTCCCCAGAAACTCTCTCACTGCTGGAAAAATGTCCAAAATACAACCTTTTCCTGGACCGTCAACTCGGTACCAAGCGGCGCTAGAACCAGGATATCAGGCTCACAATGGATGGCGAGATAGAGTAACACTTAGCATCAATCTCTGAGGAAGTAGGAAGGAAAAAGAGAGAAGATGCTACCATCACGAATAATAGGTTGCTTCGTAGCCCCTATTCTTAGAATTTCTCTCCTCACGGAATCATCCTGAACCGGGTATTCGTATGTAAGGTAGACCCGCGACCAGGCGACTTCCTACTGGACCAAGATACCAAATGGGTATCGTCTATGAAACGTGAACCCGTAAAGAATCCAAGACAGCTCAAGAGCAAGCAAAACACTTCGCAAACCCAACCCCATCAGCACAACCTATCTCCTACCACCCATTCTTCAACCCTCTCTCAATCCCCTCAAACACCTCCCTTCCTAAAATTCCCAACCCCGTCGCCAATCCAACCACATCAGCCCCCGCCGCCCTCATTCTCATGTACCCCTCCGCATCCAGAACTCCTCCGACCCCAATAATTTGAATATGCTTCAACCCCTTCCCCTTTCTAGCATCCAGCATCCTCCTGATAGTGCACACATTCCCCAAGGCAAGGGGGTGGAGCGGTGCGCCAGCCACACCTCCTAGTCCGCCGGTAGTGATGCCCATTGTGTATGGTTTGTCAGTTGTAGCAGGGGAGTGTGTTGAGTTGAAAGGGAGGACAGGTTGATGGGTGAGCCCCGACTGGGAGGAGTCAGACAGGACGAGGCAGGAGCCGAGGGTGTTGGTTGCGGTGATGAAGCTCAGGGGACAGAGCCTGTTGGGAGACGCGGCAGCGCTGTCTTCAAGAGCGGAGAAGAGAGCTTCGTACTGAGAGATGTAGGTGTATGGCGGGGTTTTGATGCCCACGGGCAGGTGGGGCAGGGAGCTGTTTGAGACTGCTGTCTGGATGGCAGCTAGGTAGCTGGCGACACCTTCACGAGTGTAGGCTGGTGGAGGGCGGTTGGGAATGTTCGGGCAGCTGAGGTTAATCTCCATTGCGACGGGGAACGCGAGATCGGGGGCCGCAGCGGCGATGAGAGAATAGCATTGTATGATGTCTTCGGGCAAGCCCGTGACTGAAACGATGAAGGTCTTGTTCCGGGGATTCGTGGGGTTTTCAGTGGAGATGATCTTGAGAAATTCCAAGTAGGTTGCGAGGACGATATGGCTGTAGCCAAGGGAGTTAATGCTGGAGTTTGCCTGCGGAACCGGGGAGGTATCCACCAGGTTAGACGCGTGAGACGTAACGTCAAACAAGGAATATTGATGCCTAGATGGGTCGTGATCGAAACCATGGATGAGAGAGGTCCTAGTCGTGACAGCGCCAGTTGAGGGACACTCATAGAGCTGGCGTAAATCGTCTAGCGTCGTGGCCCAGGGGCAGGCGGTGTTGGTCAAGGGAGGATGGATCTTGAGAGGTGGGGGTATCTCTGCCATTGCGGTGTGGCTGCTTCGAGAAAAGCTTTCAAGAATTCAATCTTCGAAGAATATGTCTGTCACACTCAGTATCCTGAACAATAGCTGAAAATTCGCACAAACCAGCAAAGCAAAGCAAAACATCGCATGGGGAAAGTTGGGGATCTTGGAGCTCGGGGTTGGAGACTTGGAGATGACGGCGGGGCTCCATGATAAGATAAGACGTTGACCCCGCTCATCAGGGGCAGAGGGGTAAAACAACAAGACGCTAGGAGGGGTTAAGCATCAAGAATTCGCAAAATCGCAACGATTCGGAAGAACTCATGCTTCGTAAAGAAATGAACGTTGTTGCTGAATGCTGGGTATCAAAGCAGATCATCAATACCTCTGTCGGCATCCTTCTGGATCAATTCGAACATGCCCTGTGATACGTTAGCGGAGCTCCAAACCAACGACGAGAGTGAGCAAGGTTTTACCTCAGGCATGACCGGCATGCCGTCCTCGCCCTTGACATAGCGGAATGGCATTTCTGTGCTCTCATGCTCATTGAATCTCAGTTCGGGGTTGTCGATGTAAGGGATCTTATCCAAGGGGACTGGTGAACAGTTAATACTGATGCGAAACGTGGGAGGGAGGGATGATTGAGACGCACTTTTATCTTGAACAACCATCCGGGTGACTCTCACTGCCGTATCAGTAGACATTTGGATTGGGCCGAGTCGACGACCTTCGAAACCCTTCTTCCTGAGCTCCCTGGTTCGATCTGCGCCTGTCAGCTAGAGCTAAGTATTCAGTTTCAGACTTATGACTCACCTCTAGGCGGATGGTCACCTATGGGTATGTTAACAATTGGCCCATTTTGAGATCTGGTACAGAAAAAGACATACCAAGGATACCGCCAAACAAGAACACATCGAATTTATCTCCGTCTTCAGGAGAAAGGTCGCTCGCGGCTGCCGGATCAAGCAGGCACACCCGGGATTTATCGTTGGCGAACAGTTCTTCAACGGACCGAGTCTCAGCCGTGAATGATGGAATGCTGCTCAATTGCTCAGGGATTTGTAATTCGGGTGGAATGGATGAGAGGAAGAACTTGGCACCGGCAGCATGAGACTCGCGGGCGATGCAGGTGTATTCAAGTTCAGACCAGGTGCCGAGCTCGTCATCGAGATGTTCGACAATGTAAGTCTTGGGAGTAGCCATTGGTAACCAAATTGCAGTTGTAAGATTGAATTGGTAAATGTCAAAATATGTTCAAGACTGGTATTATGTCCACCAACAAAGATGTGCTAGGAGACACCATTCCATGTCAACAGATTGATGACCACAGGAATTTTTTTTAGCTTCATCTCAGATCTGGAGCCAAAGTTGGGCGCCTGGCAACGGCGCCAAGACGTACGGAGATGGCTTGGCCGTTCCGGTGGCAGCTGTCGATTGGGCCCACTTCTATCTTCATCAGATCAAGTCGCTCGTGTTCTTCCCCATTTTCAACTTTGAATTCCCATTGACCGTTGCTGTACTTGTTATGAACATGGACGCTGTTCGAGTTGAACTACAGAACTGGAAACTAATCTAAACCTCAGAGAATGCAAGGGATTGTCTTATTCAGTCTTGATCGGGAACGTGGCGAAATCAGAGTGCTTTGTCATCCGGATCCAGCACTGTGAAACGCTCACTGGCCCTGACCTGTGGAGGTGAGAGCAGCAGCCCAGGCGGCACGTCCGAAACAAAACTCCCGAGGAACGACAACAGATACTCCATATGTCTGGCTGGAATTGCCACGATAACTCGAACAAATTCCTGCATGTTAAAAGTCAAAGTCCCGAGTTTACAGACATCAATCGAAAGCCTTTCGTTTTTGCGCTTATACAGCACGGTGCCGAGCTCTTCAGCCAAGAGAAATCGACACTGTTAGGGTCCGGACCCGCACGCGCCAAGCCCCTTGGCCCCCTGCAGTCGTAAGCCGCTTCTTGCATCGCTGTCCCAATCGCATTTGAAGGCAAGAACCCCTTCGGCCAGCCCTGAGCGCCAACCTCAACTTCACAAGGTGAAGAAAAAAAAACCCTTTGTTTGGCTTGACTTGTCAGGCCCCCAATGATCGCGGTCGACACTCTCAGGTAGTTTGCCATTGCTGTCGCTTCTTTATCTCATTCACTCCCGTTGCCGCGCCGTTTGTGGACCGCGCAGCACGGGCTAAACATCACGATCGCCATGACTCCCAGCCGTAGCTGGATGAGGGCCTTGATGGGCTCTTTACGCATGCCCACGGCCGTCGCGGCTCTTTTGCTTTCATGCGCGGCCTCGCTGGCTGCTGCAGAGAAATCGGCCGCCGATTACTTCGTTCATTCTCTTCCCGGCGCACCCGAGGAGCCACCGATTAAGATGCATGCTGGGTAAGCTTCCTCCCCGCTGACTTCCTGTTCCTCCCAGGCCAACAAGCTGACAACCACGTCTAGCCACATTGAAATTACGCCTGAGCACAACGGAAACATTTTCTTCTGGCACTTCCAGAACAGACACATCGCGAATAGGCAGCGCACTGTTATCTGGCTGAACGGCGGCCCGGGCTGCAGCTCCGAGGATGGCGCCCTTATGGAGATCGGCCCCTACCGTCTCAAGGACGACCATACCCTAGTCTACAACGAAGGCTCGTGGAACGAGTTTGCCAACGTCCTCTTCGTCGATAACCCGGTTGGTACCGGTTACAGTTATGTCGACACCAATGCCTACGTCCACGAGCTCGACGAAATGGCCAGCCAGTTCGTGACGTTCCTGGAGAAGTGGTATGCTCTGTTCCCCGAGTATGAGCATGATGATGTGAGTTACCCTGGATCTGTTACGGGAAAGTTACCCAGCTGACCTCTTTTTGTGCAGCTGTACATTGCGGGCGAGTCGTATGCCGGTCAACACATCCCCTATATCGCGAAACGCATCCTGGAGCGCAACAAGCAGCCCAACATAAAGTACAAGTGGAATCTTAAGGGCCTGCTCATCGGCAACGGATGGATCTCCCCGCGCGAGCAATACGAGGCATACTTGAACTACGCCTTTGAAAAGGGGCTGGTGAAGAAGGGCAGCGACATCGCCAACAAGCTCGAGGTGCAGCTACGCATCTGCCAGAAGGAGCTGGCTGTCGGTCCTGCTGCTGTCGACAACCCAGACTGCGAAAAGATTCTTCAGGATATGTTGATGCTCACGTCCAATGTCGAAAAAGGCCAGCGCATGTGCTACAACATGTACGATGTGCGCCTGAAGGACACCTACCCGTCCTGTGGCATGAACTGGCCTCCAGACCTTAAATTCGTCACCCCTTACCTCCGCCGTACGGACGTCGTCAACGCTCTGCACGTCAACCCTAACAAAGTCACCGGCTGGGTCGAATGTTCCGGCTTCGTCAGCTCCAACTTCCGCCCAGTCAAGTCCAAGCCATCCATTGACCTCCTCCCCGACCTCCTCGCCGAGATCCCCATCCTCCTCTTCTCTGGTGCCGAAGACCTCATCTGTAACCACCTCGGCACTGAAGCCCTGATCAGCAACATGGTTTGGAACGGCGGCCGCGGCTTCGAACTCTCCCCCGGCACCTGGGCCCCCCGCCGGGAATGGACCTTCGAGGGCGAGACGGCCGGCTTCTGGCAGGAGGCACGCAATCTGACCTACGTCGTCTTTTACAACGCCAGCCACATGGTCCCTTTCGACTTTCCCCGCCGCACGCGCGACATGCTCGACCGCTTCATGGGCGTGGATATCAGCTCCATCGGCGGCAAGCCGACCGATAGTCGTCTCGACGGCGAGAAGGGCCCCGAGACGACAGTCGGCGGCGCCGCTGGGAACAGCACGACTGCCAAACAGGAGGAGAAGGAGAAGCTGGATGCTGCCAAGTGGGAAGCCTACCGGAGGAGTGGTGAGATTGTGTTGGTGATTGTTATCATTGCCGCTGGCGCGTGGGGTTACTTCGTCTGGAAGGACCGCCGAAATAAGCGGCATGAGGGCTACCAGGGCTTGGCTGGCGGCGAGAACGGTTCGGCCGGGTTCATGGCGCATCATCGCAGGCAGTCGTCGCTGCGGCAGCAGCACAGGCGTCGGGACTTGGAGGCGGGCGATTTCGATGAGACGCAGCTAGATTCTTTGCATGTCAAAAGTCCTACGGAGGGAAATAATGCTGCCGCTGGGAGGGAGAGCCGGGAGATGTATAGTGTGGGTGGGGTGAGTGAAGATGAAAGTGGAGATGAGGAGGCAGTAAATAAAGGGAAGGGGAAGGAGAGAGCGGAGAATGGGGGACTGTAATTTGATAAATCAATCATTAAGAGACGGGCTTTTGGGTTAGATTGGAGTTTTGTGCGTTTGTTTGTTAGGTATACGCATTGAAAAAGGAACATAGCTTCTTCTCAACTTGGAACTGTCCTTGAAGTCCATCTGTCGTGTCTTCTTCTGGTCCAATATGTGGTGAGGATACCTCATATGCTGGCCAGGATGTCAGATGTAGATTCATCAGTGCAACAAGAAGAAAAGGGACTCAGAAGAGATATTTCGTACTAAAGGACATTCCCTAGGTAGTTCTTAAAAGTTTGCTTCTGCTCGCACTGCTTCGATCCGTTGAGCTGATAAAGCATTTATTTTGATGACATATCCCATGCATTATTGGGAGGTATCATGCCTTATGAGCACACCCAATTCATTAGCTACAGTCATCAATCTCATCCCAACGCCAGTCCCTATACTTAACCGCCCATACCAACATACCAATATACCCGACAAACCCACATCCCAAACCTCAATACCATCCCCAGAGATTACATCTACACAATAAGATAATATCTCGACCCAAAAAAAAAAAACAAAAAACAAATAACGTCATCATTGCCCCGAAGATCCCGTACTCGCCGCACTCGACGGCCTCGGCGGAGGGAACGGCATCAACCCACTATCCTCCCTTTGCATCGGCACGCCCCCCAGCGACACCTCAGGCGCAATCTCCCCATCCTCATCCCCCGCCGTAGCTGTCGCCGCCGCCGCAGCATCGGCCGCATCATCCAGCGACGCAAGCTGCATCCTCTGCTCCTCCGCCCTGCGCTGCGCCTCCTCTGCCAACCGCCTCTTCTCTGCCACATCGATCAAATCATCATCGTCGCTCCAGTACGGGTCATCCTCCGGCAAGTAGGGCATGGCCAGCCTCTTCCAGAAACGGAGTTCCTGTCTGACGGCGCGCGCTTCGACGCGCCGGTCCCAGCGTGCCGTGTCCTGCTCGTAGCGGGCGCGGAATTTGCGTAGGAGCTCGTTGGCCTTGCCCGCGCGGGCTTGCATCTCCCAGATTTGCTCGCGCAGGCGGCAGTTCTCGGCGCGCGCTTCGGCCAGCTGGGCGCGATAACTGCGGTGCCAGGCCGCGACGTCGGCAACGTGACGGGCCTTGTATTCGTGGAATTGGCGCAGCATACCGGCCATTACGTTGGCGTATTGGTTGAGGAGGGCCGCGTTGGCGTCCCGGCTAGATTTGGCTTTTTCAAGGGCTTCGGTTAAGAGAGAGATTTCCATGTCGAGGTTGGCTGTTTGGGCTATGAGGAGGGGTTAGTATCTTAGCTTAGAAAGGGGAAAGAAGAGGGGGAGGGGCACATACCCTTGAGCTCATCGCCGGAGCCGGAGAGTAATTCATCGTTGCCTAGCTCCTTTTCCAAAGCCTTATTGCGAACCTTGCCCACAATCTCGACCATATCTTGCATGGCGCGCTGGTTCTCGGCCAGCTGGCGGCTCAGCTCCTCAACTATCCCGTAGATGTAGTTGAGCTCAGCCTGGTGGCCGGCCGGGATGGGCGCCATGCCGCCGCCCATGTTGCCGCCGTTAATGCCGTTCATAGTGGTAGGCAGGCCGTAGGGATGCGGCGGAAGCGGGTGCGGGGCGTGTTGGGAGTAGTGGATTGGTTGCGGGTGAAGCTGCGGCTGGAATGGTGGTTGTGGGCGTGGAGGTGGTTGTTGCGGTTGTTGGGGTCGCTGGAACAGTTGGTGCAGAGGTAGCTGAAATCGGGGAAATGATAATGCTGGCGTGGACGGTTGTGGTTCTGCCAGCGGACTGGGAAGGGTTGGGGAGGTTGAGGATGGTGATGGCGAAGCTTGAAGGTTGATGTCCATGATGCATCCCCGGACCGGACCCAAACCCTCCTTGTTTTCTGGCTTCCGCTGGGCTGCCGCGCTGGGTAAGACTCCACTCGCTCGGGACCCCCACCAATACTGCGTGTAGTGCACCGTGAGCTTGTTTTGCTGTCGCGTCGTCGAGTAATTCTACCGTGAAGCTAATCCCCTCTTACGTCTATGCGTAATTGATGCCTTGAAGCTGAAAACAAATGTGGCTGTCTTTACATTTTGGCGCAAACTGCATGCGCCTGAGCGTGTTCCTCTTGCTGTTGTGATACGTCGGCCTTACACAAGGGTTAGGAATAGGGTTAGGGTAACTTCTGGTATGCAAGCTCACCCTCAGCTCACTTTCAACGAACACAATTGGACTGGATCCATTTCATCTCTCATTTCAACACTTCTTAAACAATTCGTTGCTTGAATCCGGCACATCATCACGTACTCGGTTTGCCAAAGCTACTTAATTTAAATATTTGACAGTAATACTGACTATATTGGGTGTTTAATGTGATACATCGACAATAGAACAATACCCAACGAGCTCAAGCTTAGTCCATCGGAGTCCTTCACTCTCATCGTCCAGTCAAAGCTGGTGCACACCTCGACTTGTCAGGCTCTCTGAGATGCCGCGCGCACTAGAGAATCCTTCAGTATAACTTAGTCGGATTTTGCGGTCGTGGCCTTCATATACAGCACAGGATAATACCAACTCCATACGGAACTCGCGACCGCGCATCGACGATGTCCACCCCTATCCCCACGCCAGGTAGGAACCCCCTTCAAGGGCGCACGCCCTCACAAGCCCATGGAGCTGCCGGCACGCCACCCGTTTCGACGCCCTTTTCAGCCGCCCAGGCTGTCTTCTCGCCAAATGGCCCGCGCTCGTCGCCGCAGCAGTTTAAAAGATCACCGGCGACCGTGGGCTCAACGACTGCGACAGGCGGCCGCCCCCCAAGCGCCATCAACTTTGACAGCCCCTCGGCGTCAGCAGCCCTGGGCGCTCTACAACCCATGACTCCTGGCATGGACATGACCATCCGGTCGCTGGCAAATCTCGGTCGTGCTAGTGAGGATGAGCGGGCCAAGCGCCTAGAGGAGGTTATCCACATCCTCAGCGTATGTCGTCCTCATTAGGTATACATATTGAACAGACCTTGGCTAACCCCCATTAGAAAAGCAAAGGTCTAGTCAGCGAAGCCGGTCTAGAGAGGTTAGCGCGCAGCCTGGAGCTTGAATTCATGTGGGAGAGCTCAATGGGCAGTGACAACAAGAGGACCCTTATTGTGGCCGGGTCTGCCCTCGAACTGCTGGTGGAGTTCTCCCAGGATGTTGTTCAGTCTGTGACGCTCAACTTCCCTGACTCTCCAGAAATTGTCACTAAGCATGCCCAGAAGGCTGGCGAGATTCTGTTTAACGATCTGCGCCTTGCCCCGGGCCAGAGCCCATTAACTAAGTCTCTTGCCCGCTTTGCGGCAAACTTCGAGCGCCTGGCTGTGCTAGACAAGCTCAGCATCAACCCCGGACTTAACTTGTACGAGGCTGTTGCCGATGTCTACGAAAGCTTAGCGCGTCTTCATGCCTGGGAGCTGCAGAAGCTCCGCGAGGACCCATCTCTTGCGGGCAAGGATGACGAGTACCTCGAGAATCTCGTCCTTTGCACCAAGAGCGGGAAGCCAGCGATGAACGACCGGGGCCGCGTGGGCCTCGCTCTAGACTACTGGAAGGAAAAGCACCTGCTCAGGACCCCTGACGCCGAAGTCGCCTCCTGGATAGCGGATAACGAGCGCACCTGGAGCATCCTCATCGGCTGTGCTCCTCTCCGCGACTTAAGCATCAACCCCGTGCGCATCTCCGACAAGTGGATCGGTCCTAATGTCGTCAAGACCTCTCTCCCGGATGGCCTACACACAGGCGAACCCATCATCGACTGGCTTGACCCCGAGCCAACTTTTATTCCTGCGACGGATCAGCAACAGCAACAGCAACAGCAACAGCAACAGCAACAGCAACAGCAACAGCAACAGCAGCAGGCGGACGCGCCACTTCTTCCACCTCGTTTGCCCGAGGTCGCTTTTCATGCTGTCTTCGACCCGCCCGTGCACATCCCCATCAACCTGTGGCAGCACTTACAAGAGATGGGCTGCGTCCTGCCCGACGAGACAGCCACTCAACCCTTCCAACAGCATCACTTCCGGTCCTTCGATAGCCTCGTCATCCCTCCACCGCAAGGCAAGGAGACAGACGCGACCGAGACAAGAGTATTCAGCTGTCGTAAGAAGACGCCATTCGTCCCTCGGCGGTCGGGAGTCCGGAACGGCGAGGGGGCAACGCAGAAGATGGAGTACAGGATCCATCAGAACACACTCTTCGTTCCAAAGCCCGTGATGTGCCGGACCCTGACGGAGATGAGCTTCTCCCATCCCCAGCAGCTGGTCAGCATCCTGCCTTACTTGAGGCAGTACGCCTTCCTGGCGCAGTTGTTGGAGAATAGCTTTAAGCCTGGGCCGGCGCTCCAACTTCCTACCGATCCAAACGCCGACACCACCACCTCCAAACCTACTCCCAATGCAAAGGCATCGCACAAAAAGCTAGACGACTTCGAAGCCTTCCTCGCCAAGCACTCTTCCCACTCCGGACCCATCTCCAACATGACGCCCTCCCAGCACCAGCCCTCCTCCGACCTCAGCATCGACGTCACCCTCCGCCTGGTCCTGCCATCCCCCAAATTGCAGATAGTCTTCCCTCTGCATGCCACCAGCAAGGAGGAAGTGAAGGGCAAGATCGCACATGTCACGTTCGCGGTAAGGGAGAATGGGAGGCTGGAGGTTGAGATGCAGAATATGATCGAAGAGGAAGGGGATCAGATGGAGGGGGTAAAAACTGAGGGAGACGAGGATGGGGAGGAGAAAAAGAGGAGGAGGCCGCAGCCGGGCGATTTGGCACGGGCGTTGGAGGTGTTGGAGGATGTGGGGAAGTGGGCTGAGTTTGTGAGGACTAGGTGGGTTTGAGGAGGGTGTGATGTAGGGGGAAAATATAGTGTTGATAAGTAATGAGAATTTAAGTGATGGGATCAATGTTTTGGTGTTGATGTGTTTTGATTTTGGTAGTTCTCTGCTCCCTGGTGTGCATCTCGAATATGTATAGAAGAAGGTGCTGATATGTTATTGAGTATGGATCTTGGTCATTGCCAAAAACTTTGTCAGAGAGATCGCCAGGACTGTCTCAACTTTCCCTTTATTCTTGGTGCACCATGGCCTCATGGGCATCAATGGAATTCTTGTCTTAACCATCATTACCATACAGGTAATGAGTTGCGCTGGAAATAAAATGTATTCCTACACTGAAGTATTGTTATTTTTACGTTTATAGAACTTACACAGCATCCTGATTGAAGAGGCAACCAAAATTTTATTTTTATTTTTTTTTCTAATTCATCTTCTTTGAAAGACCAAGAGTAATTATCACAAGATATTTCCTCTAATTTGTCATCCATGGATGCATGGATGTAGGTAAAACCCCACACGAGATGCTTATGTAGTCACGGTGGCTGTTTAGTACTAATCTGCTTACTGTTATGCATAGAACAATTGACGTGTCGATCTCCCATTTCCCAAATTCTGTCCTCTTTAACGTGTTGTGTTGCTCTCGCAGTCTTGTCCCCCGTTCACACACACCCTTCCATAAGTCAGGGTCCAGGCTTGATCAGTCATTCACTCGGAAATTTTGGTTGGATGAGCTTGGAGGGGGATCAACACACGCCAATCTGTGCGTTTCTGCAATGTGGAGGGCTCCATCCAAGCGCAACAAGCAATTGGACGCGTCGATAATTACAGGTCACAACAATAATAAAAGCAATGTTTTGAGCAGGACAAGTGCCTTCTAGATTGCTGTTTTTTCCCCTAGGGATGTTACTTGGTGGAAAGATAATCGTGTCATTAAGTGGTGGCAACAATCGTTGAGGACAAACACAACTTGGGACTTGGAAAGGACAGAGAGGAAAAGGAGAAGCGTGGGGGAGGAAAAAGAATGGGAAAGTCGTGGTGGCCACGGTTCAATTGAACGACAGCGATCTGAAATCGGTCGAGACTGCGTGTCTTGACGAGCTTTTCCTTGTCCATGATGTGGAGCTTCATGGTAATAGAGGAAAAAGGAAAGGCGTGGTGGAGCATGATGGTAACAAGATCTCCTGTTTTGGCTGACGACAGAAAAAAAAAGACTTTACGGTTTGTGGAGCGTAATTTTCATGTTGTTAGTGGGTTTTTGCTGCAGAAGACGTGTTGATGCGGCTCGGAGGACATGATTTGAGAGCTGGAACATGTCTTTTTTGTGTTTTGTTTGGTCTGTGACGTGTTAAGGCAAAAATAAACAAAAACCATGGTGTTATGATAGCTGCCTGGAGGACATTGCCACACAGCACAACATCTGATCACAACGGACCCAACCGTCTTGGGATGAGTCAAAATGAAAGTCATCATGTAAGAAGATAGCGGGAATGGAGGGATTGTGAATTGAAGGCTGCAGGCCACCAAGCAGCTGCGATATATCAAGCCTCTGATTCAAAACAAGCAACTTCAACTCGAGCAACAAAAGCCTAAACAGGGCAATCTGAACAGTCTGTTGTGGCATGCGACAGCCTGATTCTCTCACAGCCGGCATGGGCGTTGGATGCAGCCATGTTTATATAGGCCTTACCTTAGAAGCAAGGTGAGATGGATCAGTGGTTCATGTCTTGAAGTCTTCTCTGCTTGCAAAGATGGTGGTGTCTACTGCAGGGGGACCTGATGTAGGTCGACGGCCGGCTGTCCTGGGACCTGCATTGTGTTTGCACCAGGCTTGGGTCGCATCCAACGGTTGGCCATTCCAGCCCAAACCACCGGAGACGCACGGGAGGGAGCGGAGGGTCTAAGCGGTGTGAACCTAGAGGATCTTACATCACCCCGCAAGGCTAACGTTACTGTAACAGCATGAGGGCGGAGTTTCTTGGCTTTTTCTCTGAATTGAGGACAGTTCCAAAGGTTTGGGGCTCCAAAGGGGCATCATGATGGAGAAATTCACCGCTTTGCGTAGGTACCACCCAGGTCGGTACAAGCCCAATTGGGAAAGCGATGAACCACAAGTTCATCTGAAGCGGTGAGAGAAGAATGAGGGTTGCTATTCGAACAGCATACATTGAGGTTCATTGTTCGAATTGTGATATTTGTAAGCAGTGGGCCAACAATTGGGCCTTGTGACTTTGACACCTGTCGTGTCTAATGAGGCAGTTGGAGTGCAATGTCTCGTGGCTTTAAGCTCACCTGAAGGCTTGGTAACAAGCGTGAACACTTGTAAAATACAGGTAACGGAAACGTGAGCCGAGAGCTGCGGGAGGGTGCCGCCACCACGCCACCCTGGGTGTGGGTGGGACCCGGAACCCACCTTACAGGAGAGTGGGCGAAGGGACCCTTGTCGAAAAGCGCGTTAGGAACGCGACGCGCGTCAAATCAGCTGTGTAAACAAGAGCAAATGCCCCAAGGTTGTGTGCGCCCTACCTCGCGTGACTGCCACACTCCAGTTCTCAAGACTCCCTGTCTGGATTCTGGCAACGATCAGCTCGGTCGCCTTTCTTTGAAGTTTTCCTTTGGATCCTTCAGCAGACCAAGCTGAATTCCAGTGTATCCATCCCTTCGCTGCGCATCCCCAAGTACAGCTAATTTCGTCATTAGCATCGAGACAAGGACCACAACCCCGCAGCGCGCAATCGCATAGCATCCCATCGCATTTTCGAGACGTTCGCCTGCGCACCGCGCCACATCCATCCCGTTCATTGTGCGTGCAATTATCCGGCATTCCAATATACCGGCACTTTCCCTTTGATTGCAAATCAGGAGAGAGGAAACGACGAGACGAGACGAGACGACGACGCTCAACAATTGTCCTCTGCGCCTTCTGCATCTGGAAGTAGAATGCGCATGTGACTCGCGACGAGAGACGACAAGGCAAGCGCACCATAGGCATCGCGAGTCGCCTTGCACGATTTTTCTCGTAGTGCGTGACGACCAAGGCAGTCGTATCACCAGCTTATCTCCCCGAAGATGCCCAGCCAGCGCTTCGAGTAAACGAACTACCTCCCTCCCATCAAAACAAGCTCAACTTGCGCCTAGCTCTGCAGTTGCTATTGCGCGTTGATCAGATCGCTCTTCTCTCTCTACCAGCTCTCTGCTCTCTCCGGCAAGAACATAACAAAACAAAAACACAGTCTCCGAGTCTAGCTTGGAGACCTTGTGATCGAATATTCCAGATTGGAGCACGTTATCGACGACCTCGTCACTCTTTTTCTGCTGGGCTTCGACAACATATCCATTCTATTCACTCCTTTTTCTCTTTCCTTTAGCCAATTCTTTCAACTACTTTTTCCCCCCCCCCCGGGTCTCATCCGTTTTCAAGGTCGACAGGCTCGCCCCTGAACACGGACTGGCGGCTTCTTGGACGTCCATTTGCTTGACTTCTTCTCAAGTGCCCTCAGATCGTGCTTTGTGGGTTCACGGGCCTCGCTCAGACATAGCAAATCATACAGAGATATCCCCCAATTGACGCGTGCAATCGCAGACGCGCGCACAGCAGATCGTGCTTTGCTCTGGTCCAAGCAAAGCTTTGTGAACAGCCCAACGACATGTCATACTCGAGTACCAGCGGGGGCACTCTTACTCTGCCCTCGCCCACTCATCCTCATAACGTTGACGTGAGCTCTGCAGTTCGGTCGCTGCGTCGCTCTCTCTCTCGGTCACCGTCCAAGTTCCGGCTGTCTAGCACTGCTTCTCCCACTCTCACCTCTACTCCCATGACTTCGTCCATCTTCCGGCAGCCGCTAACCCCCGCGCCAACGGATCGGTCATTGTTCTCAGACCAGCCCGGGCCAGCCACGGGAGCTTCGTCAACCCCGATCCCCGCAACTCCTGCTGGTCCTGCCGAGCCTTCGTCTCCTAAGGCTGCCGCATTCACGGCTCCTCCTCCGCTGCCCGCGGCAACACCTCTTCTACGGTCTAACATCAAGCTTTCACTGCGGTCTACTCGGTCTGCCAAACCAATAACACGTCCCTTGGGTCGCCAGCGACTGTCTCCTAGGAAAAGCCCGCTGAAGCGCGTCTTTGGCCCTGCCCCCGACTCGGGTAACCCAATTCCTTCAGCTTCTTCTTCGTCATCTTCGTCTTCCGACTGCGAGGACAACGACCAAGAAAATTTGGATCTGCCTAGTGGCGCTGAGTCACCCATCGAACTGAGCCCCACGGCTCGTCGCAGCTCCGAGCGACGCAGCTTTGAGCGCGCCAATCGGCTTTCTTTCAGTCTTGAAAGCAACGGCTCTGGCAAGAGCGGCATGGCCAAGTTCCTGGACAATGAGGACAAGTCTACTTTCCCTTCGATTTCCGTCAGTCCTCTTAAGCGTAGTGACGCTGCTATGAGCGTTGACCAACCCACCTTTGGTAGCCCAGTCGCAAAGCGCCGCAGCCTTCACGGTATTTCCGGCGTCAGCAACGGCGTATCGGTTTTCGACCAGAATCCCGCATCGACTACTCCAACTAATATGGCGACCAAGGATAGTAGTAACGGCGCCTTCGACACCCAGGACGATGGCAATCAAGAGTACCGACTAACCGGCACGACCGCATCGCCATTCCGCGATCCTGTCGCCTCTCCGACTCCCACGGTTATGCCCAAGCGTACTTCTTCCCTTCGCAAGAGCACACTACAGCAGCGCCTGGGCGAAAGCCGCGGTGCCCTGAGTCGCCGCGCCGGCGAGAAGCAGATTTCCCAGCTTGCGGATGGCGCGAGCACCCCGATCCCCCGCAATAGGCTCCGCTTGTCGCTGGATCATTACACGCCTACCGAAGAGCGCGTCAACCTCTTCGGGTCTCCGGCCCCGTCTTCTTCCTTGGCCCAGCCTGCGCCGCGACCTGCGAACCAGCCTCATCCGCTGTCCCGTTCTTTGACCCAGTCATCCTCCAGCTCCAGCCAGCCGGATGACTCGCCTACACATGTTCCCGTTTCACATATCGGCGAGAGGCCGCGTGTGCCGCTCAACTTCTCTAAGTCGCTTCCTCCGGGGTCCCAGCGACCAACTAGTGATTCCCAAATGACCCCGCAGTACAAGCAGGCCAAGCCTCTGCAGTCGGCGTTCCTGTCGACCGGCTTGGTTTCCAAGATGAACCGCAATCCGGATCTGCTCCCGCCGAAGCACTCTGGTTTCAAGATGTCCCAAATGCCGGATACGCCTTGCAAGAAGCAGCCCTACAACTCGAATACCTTCCCCCCTCAAGGCACCAGCGGCGGCCGGCGTCAGCGCATCTCATTGGGTAGCCCGTCCACCCCGTTTAGCGGCCTGGTGGCGCCAATCCGCGAGAACAACCCGTTTGGAAGCCAGGATAAGTCCGGCAGTTTCCTGTTCCAGCAGGTTCGCAACGGTCCCGGTAGGAAGTCGAGCGTTCTGAGCCTGGACGGCGATGAGCTGGTCGGTAGCCATGACGACTTCCCTCCTCCGACGCCCACTAAGAACGTGCTCTTCAACAAGTCATCGACGACGCCAGTCCCGAGCGCTCGCGATGAGCAGAGGGAATCGTACACACCTTTCGGCACGCCGGTACCGGGCTTTGGCCTGGGAAGAATCGACGACACCCCTTCGAAGATCGGTCCGACGCAGAAAGATCGGGCCGTTGAGGGCATCACTCGTCCCACGACTCCCTTCTCGGGCGCGAGTCCGTCGCTGAGCTTCTCTCTTGGCCTGAACAACAGCCGCTCGCAGCCCGCGTCCTTCGCTACTCCTGCCCCGAACCGGACCGGTCCTGCCTCCTTCGGGGTGTTTGGCCAGTATACGAGGAACGAGGCTACGAAGACCCCTCTCGGCAAGGAGAACCGGCCGCCGCAGACACCGCAAGACGGGTCGGTCATGCCCGACCCATGCTCTCGGTCAATCTCTGCACGGCCGCCCCCGGCCACACCCACCGGTTCTCAGCCACCTTCGCTCTTTTCTAGTGTCATTGATCGCCGGCTGAGCGTCACTCCTCAGAATCGCCACGGCCCAGTCGAGGTTGACGAATCGCTCATGAGCCGCTTCGACAAGTCGGAGCTCATTGGTAGCGGCGAGTTCTCTCAGGTGTACCGCGTCGTCAAGGCGTCAGCTCCTAGCATGTTTCTGACGGGCTTTTCGACAACTCCGCGCACGCCTTCTAGCCCCGACGACAACTCCCGAGTGTTTGCCGTAAAGAAGCTCAAGCTTCCCTTCCACAGCGCCCGTGAGCGTGAGGCTAAGATGAAGGAAGTGCACATCCTGCAGACCCTCAGCCACTCCAGCAAGATCGTTCAGTTCATCGACAGCTGGGAGCATAACGGCCATCTCTACATCCAAACCGAGTACTGCAGTGAGGGCAGCCTCGATGCCTTCCTTCGCGAGATTGGGCAGTGTGGTCGCCTGGACGACTTTAGGATTTGGAAGATCCTCCTGGAAACAACTCAGGTAAGCATTGATCTAACTTGTTATGTTGGTTGGGACTTGGACTGACCCTCTCTAGGGTCTCATGGCGATTCACCAAGCTGGCTTCATCCATCTCGACATCAAGCCGGCCAACATCTTCATCACCTTCGACGGTTACCTCAAGATTGGCGACTTTGGCATGGCCACCTCCTGGCCTGCTCCCAAGGGCATCGAAGGCGAAGGCGATCGCGAGTACATCGGCCCGGAGATACTTCTCGGCCAGTATGACAAGCCTGCCGATATCTTTGCGCTTGGCCTCATCATCCTTGAGATCGCATGCAACGTTTTCCTTCCCGACAACGGCCCGACTTGGCAGGCATTGCGGAATGGCGACATGTCGGTCGTCCCACCTCTGACGCCTGGCGAGGCCGGTGCTGTTCTACGCGACGCCAACGGCGTGCCGATCTGCAACGACTCAGGGGTGTCGATGCCCGATGAGGATAGCTCATTCGCGTTCAAGGGTATGACCCATGACGCTAGCAATCTCTTTGGTTCCCAGCGGCGTCCTGAGCTGCGCGAACCGCCGCCATTCCTGGCCGATCCCAACCACCCGCACTCGCTCGACAACCTAGTTAAGTGGATGATCCAGCCGAATCCCAAGGACCGCCCCACTGCTGAGCAGTTGCTGGCCTCGGAGCCGGTTACCTGGATTTCTAGTCGTCGCGCAGCTGGCGCGACGGTCTTTGAGGGCAACTGGGGTCCGCAAGTCGGCCCAAGCGTCCAGGAAGGGTCCGACACCGAGATGACGGGTGTTTGAAGATATCCAGCAGGCATCTGGCGCTACGACATATGAAACACACCGCCTACCAAACAATATGATGCCATCTGATGTAGGCTCTGTACCAAACTAATCGACGATACGCTTCCACGACTTCGCGTTTCGATCGACGACTTACGACTGATACCAACGTGGCCCCTACCGACAGGCCACTCAACTGGACGAGGCCCGCCTGCCTCGACGTTGCTGTGCTTCTTTCCTTTGTCTCTCTCATGTACCATCATGCATGTATTGTCTGGAAAGCGGTTTCCCGTTTCATTTACCGGAGTTCGGGGAATCGCATCTGTTACAATACCTGGCGGCTCACATTTCGGGCATAATCTGGGCGGAACAAGGGTTCTTGTTTTTCTCTTCTCTCTGTATGGGAGGGTAATAATGGTTTGATTCTCGTGGTGGGAGGAGGTTGTCTGGCTTTGGTTCCTCGCATGGGATGGGACGGTGTTTCGGCTCTGTCTGTCTTTATCTGGGAACCTGTTGTATTATGACGGGAGGCATCGCATCATGTATGGATGGATGGGCTGGCGCGAATCAAAAACAAAAGGAAAACATCAACAGCATATTGTCATTCATGCATTGCGTTCTCCGTGTATAGATTAACCTTACCATACCATGGCGACGGATGGGACTGGACTGGACTGGACGGGGTCGGTCGGCGTTGGTGTTTCGGCACTACGAGCTTTGTTGGCTTCGCGGTTGTCTGGTCTTGTTGGCTGGTCAAGCAAGGGAGCGCCCATCGGTTATTTGTATGAGGAAGAGGACTATGATGGTATGATATGGATGGATGAATGATTGTGTGGCGAACCTGCTTGACTGTCTGCGGATTGGATGGCCTGCATACGGCCAGTTTACTGACTGACTGCCTATGTACTACTTTGTATGCATGTACCTACTACTATTACTGACTGACTTGACGTGGGAATAATTTACAGCTTTGTTTCCTTTGTCAGATAAGAATTTTGATGGAGCTGTCATGTATTTACATTCTTAGGGTGTGAGTAATGGAGGGGTAGTGTAATAAGAGCGGTACTTGGCTTGAGTTTTTGCAGTATGAGATCTTTTGTGGATATGGTGAACAGCTTGGCCTAAGTCAGCTTTGAGACTCTTGGGGGCTTTTCAAGAAGGCTTCCTTCTCAATCACCTGGGATAACCGAATAATGGGATGGGGGGGGGGGTGGGGGAGGGGGAGAGGGGGAGTACTTGTAGAGTTTGGATTTGTGGTACCCAACTTAAGCTCCGTTTCTTTCCCGTCTTCCTTTGTTGTCCCTTCCTTTTGCCTCATATTTTCTTTCTGATCGTTTCTTGGTCCATGTGCCATTCTGACTACTAACTTGCATTGAATCTTGAGCTCTACGACAGTCTTCTTTCATCGATATTTACACCGGCATCTGTAAGAGACAGCCACTGTCAAGATGGTCAAGATGTAAAATGACGACGTAGAGCAAACTACGACCCTAAAGGAGTTCTTGCATGTAGAGATCATTTCTCTGAGGTGTAAGCTTGTCTGTATGATCGAAAGCTCAGCCCGACAGTTCTTGGTTATAGGAGCCACAGTTTGTTACTCCTTAAAGATTTAGGAACCTAGTTTATGAAGAGAACTGGAACTATATATCTCGTAGTAAGCACACTCGCACTGAGTGCAAAGAGACAGAATTGTAAACAATCCTAGGGTAAAAATTGCATTCCCATACGCCTATGTTGTTCCCTACAAAATACAAACTACCCAGACAGACTAGCATAACCCAACAACAACAACAACTACAACAACAACAAAGACCCAATACGCCAAATACCCTCGCCAACCCAACCAGAATGAACTATTCTAAGATGTCGACCCGGCTTCTGAACTCCATCCCTACATTTCCCCTCAACCTCTTTTACTCCTCTCCAATGTGACTTTCTCCTTCTTCTTCCTTCTTCCCCCCCCCCTTTTCTCTCCCTTAAAGAAAATTCATTCGAAACTACCCCTCCCTAACACCCCCCTAACAACCTCTACCCTTCCTTCCATCCCCCTGACCACCTTCCTCTCCTCCCTCCTGCGCTCTGCCTCCGCCAGCGCGGCTCGTCTCTCATTTTCTCGGGCGAGATAACTCACGCCAGAGCGCTTGCCAGCCACTTTCTTGATTTTCATGTCCCCTGCTCCTGCAGCGAACAATTTACTAGCGGAAGTGGTTGCGTTGGGGTTGGTAGTGACTCCGATGAAGGTAGTGCCAGTGCTAGAAGAGGAGGAGTTGGTGGCGGAATTGGAGAGAAGGGAGTTGGTGGTGGCGCGACGGAGGAGAGTTGGGACTTTGGGTCCTCTGGTGGGAGACCCAGAAGTGGTGGTGAAGGCTTGGCGGGAGGTTGAGCTGTTGGAAGAGGATTGGCGTTTGAGGGAGAGGCGGTCGACGATTGCGCTGGAGCCGGAGCCAGGTTTCGTCCGGCGAGAGGGGAGGTTCTCTTTGTTACTGCCGCTGCTCGACGTGGGACGAGACTCAGAAACGGTGTCACCATTGTCCTCAAGTTCACTCGAGGAAGCGAGTTCCGTCTCGGGGATGATGGATGAAGACGTGCGGAGGTGTTGGTCATCTTCGAGGAGGGAGGAGAGGGTTTGGCGGATTTCGGCTAGGGTAGACGGGCGTTTGGTGATGGGCTTTGTCCGGCGGGGGTTCGTCGTCGTCACAACGGTGGGCTTGGGTTGGTTTGTTGCTGGCAAAGGCTGGCTGTCTGGTACGACGTCATCTTCGTCCTCCCCGTCAACAGCCATGCCTGAATCCTGCCTCTCTAGCCTTGCAACACCAGCCACGGGCGCGGGGGTCGGAGCGAACAGGAAGTCCATCTCCTCATCTGAGTCTCTATCCTCGATGGTGCGCAAGAAAGCCTGATTCCGCGGGTTGGCAGCAACCTTGCTGATTCTCTCATCGGCAAACAGCGCGCGCTGCATCTTGGCAAACTGCCTTCTCTTCATGCGGCGACGACGGGCCTCGTCATCATCGGAATCGTCCAGGTCATCCCAGTCGCCGGCGGCACGCTTCCTGCGCAACATACCAGTCGTGATGTCGTGGAATAGCTTGTTGACTTGAGCTTCGTCGGCGCGGCGTTCGCGGTCACTTTCGTAATCATTAGCATCCTATCAAGTAAAAAAAAAAAAAAAACCGGAGGGAGGAGAGGGTGGAAGAAGAAAAAAAAATGGGGACATACGCATAAAAAGCAGCCAACCTCCTCCCATCTTCCTCTGTCTCCCTCGTATCATCATCAATCATGTCCTGCACATCCCGCGCATCGTCCTCGTCCGTGCTGACTTCATCGTCGGCGCCGCCCAGCCCGGCGTACTCGTCTTCGGACTCCTCGGCTTGCTCCTCGATCATTTCACGAGCTTTGCTCTTTTTCTTGTCAAATTTCTTCTTTTTCTTCAGAGCAGCCTCCTTCATGGCAGCGAACGCATCCGCCTTCTTCGTGCCGAAGCCGAACTCATCTTCTTCCTCTTCGTCATCGGGCTGCGTCGAGGGCGGGAATTCGCCCCGCCGGAAGAGTTTGCCCGTGGTTCTCCTCACGAGCGGACTGCTATGCACGCGGCCATCCTCCTCCTGGGTGTTGATCACACTCTCCTGTGTCAATCCCTCCGCCGCGCCGACCTCGACAAACCGCTGCTTCAGCTTCGGCAGCTTGCTGAAGCCCTGGTCCTGCGTGGGATCAATCATCTCGTCATCATCATCCGGCGACTGGTTCAGGAAGGACTCGAACCCGTGCACTTGGGTAGCGGGCTTGAAGTCCAGCTGCACGCCTTGCGTCTCTTCTTCTTCAGCACCCCTTCTGATGGTAGGCTGACTATCCAGAATCATGTCTTCATCCTCCTGCCGACTGACTCTTTGAGAGAAGTTGCTATCCGCGAAGTCGGCGACATCAAACGTCGGCTTAGGCTGCGAAGGAGAGAGCGGCGGCGCCGGCGTCCCCTCCTGGCTGTCGTCCATGGTGCCCATAAAGATCTGCGTCAGACCCATGCCCGCCGGGCCCGAGACAGGCAGGCCGGGGATGAAGGGCTTGCGGGCGGAGCGGAGAACAGAGGTTGGGATGGCGGGGGAGGTAGTGGCCGTGTTGTTGACGGGGGATTTGATCGTCTTGTTGGGTTGCGGTGTTGCTTTGACGAGGGATGAGGAGCCATCTTCATCGTCGGAGGAGAGGACAGCGGTGGTAGTTTTGGCTTTGGGCTTGCGAAGTTTGCGCCGGGCGGTAGGGAGGATTTCTTCGTCGGAGTCAGGGTCTGCCTTTTCGGCGTCTTCACCAGCAGGCTGTTTAGACTCCTCTTCCTTCTCAGCTTCCTCCTCAACCAAACTTTCATCATCTTCCTCCTCCCCTGGCCCCGATAATTCAACCTCTTCCTCCTCCTCCTCNCNCTCTCTCTCTCTCTCTCTCTCTCTTCTTCTTCTTCTTCTTCTTCTTCTTCTTCTTCTTCTTCCGAACCAGATAACTCAATCTCCTTCTCCTTCTCCCCCTCCTCTTCTTCCTCTTCCTCTTCACTATCCCACCCAGGCGGATCCTCCTCTTCATTCTCCCCGTTCTTCCTCCGTTCCCTCTTTTCCTTCCTCATAATTTCCTCCGCCTGCCTCCTCGCCTTCTCTACCAAATCCTCCACCTCTTGCTCCTCCTTCTCCCTCTCCTCTGCCGTTTGCACATGGATTCCCCTTGCCCTGAGCTCCTCCAGGTGTCTGTCCCTTTCAGCCTTGGCTTGCTGTCTCGCGCGCTGGAGGAGGGTAGCTGACAACTCGGAAGCTGTCATGGGCGGGGGTTGCTGGGCTTGCTTGGCCGGAGGAATGTTTGCCGCGGGGTGTTTCTTGTCTGGGTCATCGAGTTGGGCGAGCAAGCGCAGCATTTGGAGGGGGCGTGGGTGTTTGGCTTGGTTGATGGGGACGCGGGAGAAGAGGTCGGAGACGCGGGGGTTGGGATGAGGGGGTTGGATTTGGAGGTCGTCGTCGTCATCGTCATCATCGATCGTGATGGCTGACGTATGGGCAGTATTAGCTTGGAGTATGGGCAACTTAACTCGAATCTGGCGTTTAGCAGGGGTCCGTTTGGCCACCTCCGCCGCTTCTTTGGCCTTCAGATCCACGGCTGTTGCTTTCCCCTTGCCTTTGTTGAGCTTCTTCCTTTGTTGAAGAATCGCTTCCGGATCCTCGGGGAACTCTTCGTCCGAATCGTCACTCCCCTCATCGAGCTGCACAGCAGCTCCCTTACCCTCCTTTTCCTCAGTAGGCTCCCCAACCTCCGGCGGCGAACTAGGCGGCGTATCTTCCTCCCCGTTTGCATCCCTCATCTCCGCGTCACTGGTACTCAACCTGGCCCCCTCAGCCGGGGAAGCAGCCCTGCTCGACGAAGCAACGCCCTCTATCTGGTGCTGCTGCTGCTGTTGAGTGTGCGGCTCAGCTTCCTTCACATTCGATGTTTGGGCGTCATCAGGCCTAAACCCAAACCTCTCAAACAACACCCCCTTACTGATCTTTTTCTTTACCTTCGCCTCGTGCACGAGCTGCATACTCCGTGCCAGGCGCTGCGTCTCGCGGGACATTTCCTCCATGGCCTTCTTGCTCGCTTTCCGCTGCCCTCTCCCCCGGCTAGACTTCTGAGTGAGTGTCCGACCGCCCTCATCGTCGGTGATATCGTCGTAGTTTTCTTCATCTTCTTCATCCCCATACTGGGGGTTTTGTTTTTGTTGTTGATGACGCTGGGCGGAGGCTTTTTTCGCAGCCTCTTCTGCCTCCCTAGCCAAACGCTCGGCGCGCTTCTTGGCGACCAGCGCTTGAAAGCGCGGGTTTTTCGTCAGGGCCGAGGGGCTGGGGAGGGAGCTGTCGCTGTCGTCGGCGTTGTCGTTGTCGTTGTCGTTGTCGTTGTCGTTGTCGTTGTCGTTGTCTTGGGTGCGAGAGGGGGTGCCGACGCGGGATGGACGAGAAGGGGAGACGAACAAGCCGGGGGAGGAGGCTCGTGAGGGAGGACTGTTGGTGACGGCTCGGTCATCGTTGATGGTGAATTTTTTCTGAGGGGATTGGGGCTCGGGAGAAGCACTAGTGCGCTGACGGCGAGAGAGGAGCTTCCTCGGCCGGGACGTGACGACGACATCCTCGTCTTCATCCCTCTCAATATCGCCATGCTTCTCCTTTTGCTGCTGTTGCTCTTCGGTACTCGCCGCCTTCTGCGCGGGTTTCGGCTTCCTAAACGCTATGACAATATCCTCATCTTCTTCATCGTCTTCTTCCATAGCCGTATCCTTCTGCTGCCCGCGAACTTGCATCATAGACGCAAGCTTGCCGCGCGGCCGGAGGATCGACTCATCGACCTCACTCTCACTGCTGCTGACATCGTAGTTGAGGAAGGGGTTCCTTTTCTCGAAGGAAAAGCTGATATCCTTCGGCGAGGTTGGTGATGAGGCCATGCTGGGCCAATTGGTATCTTTCCGTACTCTCTATCTGTCGATGCGAGGGAAATTGGTACAAAACAATTTAAAGAACGACGTATCTATGTTGCAACGCTTTCAAGTAACCGTAGGAGATTTTGAGAGAGGGCTGGTGTTATTAGAATGGGAGGATAAGGTCCTGTGGAAGCGAATCACAACGCGCGACGACCACGCGCGTGGGAACGCGGTCGCGTGTAAGTGGGCGGGTCTGGTGCCGTTTACGCGAACCCCCTGCTCTAAGTTATATTGATTACCGTATGGCATTACAGAATATTCTTACAGAAACGATGACTAAGCAACCCCTGATGTCAGCATCAAACATCACCGCGATGTCATGCCACAGTCGGGAGTCACGAGCAGACGGGATGGATTAAGTCCATCGAACCAAGTCCCTGATAAGTATTCGGATATCGTTCCTAAAAATTATAGTACAAGCCTTAGCTCGTCGTCGAGATCCCCTGCGTTGTGTCAATTATCCCATTACTCCCGCCCCCGCCCCCTCCCCCCCATGAAGGCACACCAGTTGTTTGATGCTGATGCTGAAGGCGTATACACCATACCCTATTCACATTCCTCCATCCCATCTCCTCATTAGCCGAAGTCTCGTATGTTTGAACTCGACAACCTCCTCTGAAGACAGTCCACGAGGGGTAAGATGCTCTTGTCCGTCCCCAAGACTAAGCGACCCTCCCCCTCTTTTTTTTTTTCCCTTCTTCCACGTTCAAAACTACCCGACACAAATGCCCATCGCCATCCTCGACAGAGAAAACAGCAATGCAGCATGCAACCTCTCTTTTTACTCCCTTTCCTTGTAATTCTGTATGCGCTGCCATGCGTGTAAAACTAGTAAGGTATCCCGCCAGTGATGGAATGTCGAATATCAAAAGGACTCAATGACTTTATACTCCGCGCCCCAGAATCCCAATTGTCAAAATGGCAGAAACTTCGTGAAAAAAAGAAAGAAAGAAAGAAAGAAAGAAAGAAAGAAAGAAAAAACGCCTGCGCCAAAAACAAAGCAAACCTCCCCCCCCTTTTACCAACCAAAACCAAAAACCAAACCAGCCAACCAATCCATGATAACTAATAGCAACACAGAAACACCAGTACCATCTCCTAAAAATTATAATCCTTTCACCCCCTCCTGTCAGTCGGAGTAACACGGGAATCAACCACAAAAGCCGTGCTCGAAAAGGGAATGAGCGGAGGAGGAGGGGAAGATCCCAACTCCAGACCCCCCTCCTCCAACGCACCCTGCCCGTTCGGCTGTGCCAAACCGTACCCAGCCCTCGCATCTGGCTCACAGAAACCCTAATTCACCGCCAGACACGAGTCCAGCACGGCATTGAGCAGGTCCGAGGTTTCGGGCTCTGCGCCCTCCCACCATATCTCGTTCGCTGCTCCTCCTGCGACACTAACGCCATCGATATCCATCGCGTCAACATCATGCACCCCATTCGCAAGCGGCTGTTGTTGTGGCTCGGGTTCTCCCTTCACAACCCCGTTGACCCCGACACCGCCCATCTCGACATCGCCATCCCCTCTGCTGGGTATAGCAATCCCGTCCGGTCTGCTCGGATCAACATACGTATAATCTTCCCAATTCTCCAGCTCTCCCTCCCGCCAGCCGTAAATCACGCTCTTCACAATTACCGGAAACCCGGCCAACCCACAATCCCCCATCTCCAGCGCAAGCCTCACATCTGCCATGCCCAGCGGGCCCCTCTCGCTCGCGGCCTTGGCCTCGACCGGCAAAAGCCCCATCTTATCCCTGCTGATCTCACCCCTCTGGAAGGCCTCCTCCTCTTTAGCCAGCTGCTTCCGATACCGATGCGTCTGGATCCAGCCGCTGCCCAAGCCGAAGCCGGCACTCCCTGAGTCGCCGGGACCGTTGGAGCGTGTCCGGCTGAAGATGGCCGACATGACTTCTTTGATAAAGGTTTCGGTCGCGATGGACATGAATTGCGCTGCGTCGGGGGCGTGGCCGGAGGAGAGACCCGCTTCGTAGCAGAATGGAAGCATGCGCGACTCGATGTTGGATGTGTCGGGGAATTCGCCGGATTCGACGGCAAGGGGTTGGGCGTAGCGTTTGCGGATTTCGAGGTCGAAGTCTGGAGGTAAGGGTCAGTAAGAGAGGAGAGAGAGAGAGGGTCGGGGGGGGGGTTTTTTGAGTAAGGGGGAGGAGGGGAGAGGAGGGGAGAGGACATACTCATTTTCAGGCCGCCCGCACTGGCAGGCGGCTCGGCGATCTTGGGAGGTTTTGCGCGCGCATGTTCCATGAGGACGTTGGCCAGGGCGTCGTAGGGGTCGAACTGGCGAATCAGGTCAGCAGCACTTCCAAACACATATACAGTTATGTATACATACATCATTATGCGCCAGCTCCTTGATCCTCCTCCGATCCCTCGCCGGCAGCTGCATGACCTCTCCCTTGAGCCGGCGCTCATTAGCATCGCCGGTGACGGGCTTGGTCTGCGCGGTAGTAGGCTTGTCATTCGCGCTGACCCAGGGCGCGAGCCCTGGGTCGGGCATCTCGCGCGTGACATTGGCGTAGATGGCGGCGATCAGCTGGTTATGCAGATGTTCTTTCTGGCCGTCCTGCGAGGCCAGGATCGGGTCGATGCGTTCGCTTAGCTCGGCTTGGTTGAGGCGGCCTGGATACGTTCGTCCAGAGTCAGCAGAGCCGAGGGAGAGAAAACCAATTGGGGGACGTACCAATCAGAAAATTTGTCAGCGTCTCCTTATACACCGGCCATTGCTCGGCACCAATGGCAGCCTTGAGTGCAGTGTAGATGGGCTCGAGGTCGATGCGCGGCGGGACGAGGCTCGTCTTCTGCGGCTTGCTGTGCGCGGATGACGCCGACGCCGATGCCGACGCTGACGACGGGACCGATACGTTGATGGAGCCCGATTTGCCCGGGAAGGAGGGCGTCGAGAGGCCGATGGACGGCCGGCTTAGGGCCGCCGGGTTGATGTCGACCATGAGGGTGGTGACTCGAGGAGTGATTGATGTTTGGGATTCTTTTGCTGGTGGTGATGAGGTTGGTGATGATGATGGCCCAATCGATGCGACGACGCGATGTGCTCACTCAGAGAGATGCGGTCATTGGAGTTTTAATAACATGTGTGCACGACTCGGCTGCTGGGCGGCGGCTTGTGAAGTCAGATGAGGGCTCAGAGCGATCGATCAGGCATCGTGGTGTGCACAGGCGATGATGAAGGTTGTATTGGATTGGATTGGATTGGACTGGACTGGATTGGAATGGTTCGTCGGATGCGGGATGCGATGCGAACTTGCGCTCGAAGCTCAGCCCTTAGCTGTTTGTTTTAGCGGTCTTACTTGGTGTGGTGCCCAATCGAGGCTCTGTAACCTAGCACTTTGGAGGAGAATTTTGTGTGCAGAAAAGCACTGTTAACCGCTGTAAGAAGCGCTAACCCCACTGAAGCACCACTGAAAGATCGCTGCCCAAAACCACTATGTCCAGCAGCACTTTAAGGACCCACTGCCTCGGCGGGGCAGGTACTTCCCACCCCACCAAAATTTGCAGACACAAGAAGTACCTCCCTCCTTGGGCGTCGCGTCGCGTCGCGGGAACTGGCAGTTGCTGTACACTCATCGCTAGAGATCCAAGTCCCAGCTCCCGGCTCAGACAAAAACCAACCAAACAAAATAAAACACAACATTACTCCCCCCCCCCCCCCAACAAGAATAGCCCATAACCCGAATGCCCGCCCGCCCATAAACAGCTCTAGTACACAACCATGCAACCATGTCCAGCACGCGCAACAGCCAGCGCATCAACAATGCCATCGACAGCCTGATCGGCCACCTGGTGCCCGCGGCTGCCGGCGACGACGACGATGCCCGCACCCGCCGCCAGGCCGTTTTTGACCTGGTGCGGGCTCTGCTAGAGCAGTAGGCCTCTTCCCCGTCTGTGTGCTTGGACCAAATTGCTAACTGCTAGCTCTCCAGGCCCGGCTCCAACATCCCCTCCGACGTCAACCACGCGTCCGACCTGATCAAGCGCCGCCTGATCAGCACCAACCCGAGCCAGGCCCTGCGCTTCTCGAACCTGTATACTCGCCTCCTGGCACTACCCGTCCTCAACCAGAAATGGGCCATACTCTATCTCCTTCATCAGCTCGCCGACTCGCCCGACCCGAACGAGCCGCTGCCCCTCAGTCCCCCCAAGCCCCAGCAGGCCCCGCAACAACTGAGAACGTCCCCTAGGCCAGAGAGAGTGCGCTCTCGCCAGGACGACGACGAGGCCCGTGATGTCGCTCAGACGCCTAGGAGGTTACCGGAGCGCGGGGCACCACACAGCCAGCCTGTTACCCCGGGAGCCGACGGGACCCCCAGAAAGACATTCACAAGAGACGTCTCGCTCAAATCAACCCTCCTAGCAGCTAATTCCAACGACTGGGAACCTTCCGAGCGAGCTCTCCTCCGTGACCTGCCCTTCACCCTCCAGGGCCTCTCCTCAGCGACCCTCCCCTTCACCGGGGACGACGCTCTCCAGCTCCCGACGACCCTCCCCCCTCCTCTGGTCTCCCTCTTACACACCCTCGCCGAGCCGTCCCTCCTCTTCCGGCAACTCTCCAACTTTGTGCGCTCCCCAGCCCGCGGATTACTAGGGCAGTCTCTGCGCGCAGCAATCGGCAACGAGCTGCGGTCCTATCTAACCCTCGTCGCCACGTTAGAAGGCCAGATCCGCCGTGCGCTCGCTTCGCTCGACGACTCGGCCCCTAGAGGGGGCATCGGCAAGGCGGGCGTGACCCTGAAGCGCTGCGTGGTCTGGACGCGCGAGGCGACCATGGGGCTGAGGCTGATGTCGCTTATCGCCGAGCAGAGCCAGACCAAGCATGGCGGGCAGCTGATTAGCCTGATCCACGGGTTTGTCACGTCGCATGGGGATCCGGTCGTGGCTGCGTTTGCGGAGAGGTTGTTGGCGGACGTGACGAGGCCGTTCTATGAAATCCTGCGGAGGTGGATTTACGATGGTGAGCTGTCCGATCCGCATCTGGAGTTCTTCGTTCGGGAGCAGGATCCGGCCAGCCAGGCGCGCGAGCAGAGCAAGGAGGCCAAGGCGCAAGCGAGCGTGTGGAATTCGAAGTACGAGGTCGTTCAGGACATGGTGCCGAGCATCATCACCCCCGACTTTGCCCAAAAGGTCTTCCTCATCGGCAAGTCCCTCAACTTCATCCGCCACAGCTGCGGCGACAGCGCCTGGGTCGACGCCTACAGCAAGACCTCGTCAAAAGAACTCCGCTACGGCGACATGGCTGTCTTGGACAAACAGATCGACGAGGCCTACAAAACTACCATGCGCCGTCTCATGCACCTCATGGCCCACCGCTTCCACATCTTCGACCACCTCCAGGCCCTCAAGAATTACATCCTCCTCGGCCAGGGCGACTTCATCGCCCTGCTGATGGAATCCCTCGCCGCGAACCTGGACCGTCCGGCTGGAGCTCAGTACCGACACACCCTCACCGCCCAGCTGGAGCACGCCATCCGGGGGTCGAATGCCCAGTACGACAGCGATGAAGTCCTCCGCCGCCTGGACGCCCGCATGCTGCAGCTGAGCCACGGCGACATCGGCTGGGACTGTTTCACGTTGGAGTACAAGATCGATGCGCCTGTCGATGTGGTCGTCACCGACTGGGCGCATCGGCAGTACCTGAAGATGTTCAACTTCCTGTGGCGCATCAAGCGCGTCGAGTTTTCCCTGCAGTCTACCTGGCGCAAGTGCATGACCGGCGCAAGGGGGGTGCTGCAGACGCCGGATAAGGAGGTGCAGCACACGTGGAAGACCACGCGCGGCGTGCTGGCCGAGATGATTCACTTCGTCGGGCAGCTGCAGTATTACATTCTCTTCGAGGTTATCGAGGCGTCGTGGTCGGAGTTGCAGCGCAATATTCGCAAGGAAGATTGTACTCTGGATGATCTTATTACTGCGCATACGAAGTATCTCACCGCTATCACGCATAAGGGGCTGCTGGGGGCCAGAAGGAGACAATTCGAGGCGGCGCTGGCTGCTCAGCACGCTGCCGCGGCCGCTGCCGCTGCCGCAGCGGCGGGGGATATGTCCGCTCAACCGGGAGCCCAACCCCAAGTAGACGGCCAGCAGCAGCCACAGCCCCAACCCGAAGACCGCAACTCCTACATGAACCAGCTATCCGAACTCCTCCGCATCATGCTCGCCTACCGCGACTGCGTCGACGGCCTGTACAGCTGGGCCCTGGCAGACTTTACCCGGCGACAGGAGGCTGAGGCGGTCGGGCTGATGCGTCGCGCGCAGCAACAACAACAACAACAACCACCCCAGTCTCAACCTCTCTCAAGGAGGAACTCGCAAAAGAGTACCTCGTCGTCAGGAAGGAACGCAAGCAACCCCCGCAAACGGCCCGCTTCTTCCGGGGGTGGGCCGACGCCAATGGATCTGGACGAGCCCTCCGGGAATGCCTTCACACCCGGCGCGAGTAACGCCTCTTCGATAGCTAACAACTCTGACCTCAATGCCAGCGGGCTGGGGCTGTCGCCAAACACCCCCCAGTCAGAGCTACCCGCTTTGCAGGAACGCTTGAAGGGGTTGGGTACATCGTTCAAGACGCGGTTGCAAGTCTTGCTCGGCGATTTGGCCTACCAGCCGGATATGGATATGAGGTTTTTGGGGGTGGCGATGAATTTTAACGATGTTTATCAGCCTGTTAGGAGGAAGAGGAGGACGGGCGCGTCGGGGTCGGGGACCGTTGGGGAGGGGAAGGTTGATGGGAAGGGAGGGCAAGAGGGGGGGAGTACGGTGTTGCAGACCCCCGCGCCGGGACAAGGGATGGGGCAGGGAGGGGTGAATAACACTGTGTTGATGGGGAGCAGGGCGGCGTAGGCGCCGAACGAGGCTCCATCAGCCGGTGGTGGTGAAAGGGGTATTCCCCGACTTCGGCCCCGGGCTCGGGCTGGTGTTGGTACCGCGGCTCGGATGACTCCTGCTCAGCCTTCCGCTCCGGTTCCGGCTCTGAGCCCCAGGAAGAGGCGTGCAGCCCCTGCTGCTCGTCTTTCGCCCCCTCGGATTCCGGTTCCGGCTCCAGCCAAGGTCACGGCGGATGCTCCTACTGCTCCTCCTTCGAACCTCAGTCCTACCAAAGAACCTGCAACCCCTCTCCGCGTTTTTGGTCCCGTGTGGAGTCCGAGTCTAAGCAAAGGCAAAGCTGCGGCTGCTTCTCCTCCTGGGGTCCGCGTTTCGAAACAGAGTCCTACCAAAGTTCCCACGATGCAGGCCGGTCGGGGTATTTCCCCTCCCTGGGTGGGTCGCTCGAGGAAGGTTGCTCCTCCCGAGACTTCGACTCCGAGAAAACGGACATCACCTACTCAGATCCCAAGTCCTCGTAGAGCTATTTCTCCTCCCAGGATCCCACGTCCGGCCAACGCTTCCTCTCCTACAACTGGTTCTCCTGCCAGAGTTCGACGAGAGGGTCTTGCGCAAGTGAAGAAGGAGATGAAACAGGAGAAGGGACAAGGAAACGTAGGAGGAGATGTGACTGGGCCTATTGCCGCATCAAAAGCCCCCTTGAAGGATGGAAAAGCGCAACAACAGATCGCTGTCGTTGGGGCAGGGGCTAGGTTTAGCAAGAGGGTTCAACAGCGCCAGCAGCAACAGTTACAGCAGCAGCAGCAGCAGCAGCAGCAGCAGCAACAGCAACAGGGGAAAAGGAGAATCGGGATGGCTGTCCAGAGACAGCAGGGGGTAAATGAGTTGAAGCAGGGTTGGAAGCAAGGGTTAGTACAAAAGCAGGAGGTGATCAAGAGCGAGAATAACCCCAAGCCCAAGCTGGGGGGGAAGCATGAAGAGGAGGAGGGAAAGATACCGTGCTCCCCTCCTTGGGGGATTGTGGTTACGCAGTTCCCCTAAGTTTTTTTTCTTTTTTTTTTCTTTTTTTCTTTTTTCCGGATCTGTCCTACTGGCAGTTGTCCAGCGGAGTGTATTCGGAGGATGGAAGCGTGATGATTGGGTTGATAAAATGTGTGGTGCTGGGACCTAGTTTTAGAAGGACTCAAGCAGCTTGTGCTATGATGTTCTCTCCTATGCTATTCAAGTCCTACTCGTCTCCTTCTGTACGCAGTATCATTTTCTTATGACCGACGATGAGAAAGAATATCAGGCTAAGGATTGAGGGTGTTGGGGCGACTATTGTTTTTTTTTTTTTTCTTTTCGTACCTATTAAATTGGTTGGGAGGTTTGGTCGGGTTTATGATAAATGACTGACTGATTAGTCTCTGTTAAAAGAGGGTGATCAATGGGAGATCCGAATGCATTTTTATTCTCTTGAGGCTTAAATCCTGAATGCCGAGTCACCTAGGTTCTGTATGATCATTGGATGCTCGAAGGGGGGTGGGTATGTTGAAGCGATGTTCTTCCCTATGACTCGAAGACATTCCATCATGCACTACTGCCCTATATGTTTACTTGCGAAAGCATCATCCTTTTTTTTTTTTCGATGCAAATGCCTATTACTGTGTTCACATGAAGTATCATGGCGACTCCTGGGCCAATGAAAGTGACAATAGAATGTGCTTTGGTCCCACGGGAGATGAGGGGTACTGTTCCAGTTCAAGCGAAACTTATAATGTGCATACCTATAGACGGCCTACTGCTTTACCTGGGATAAAGGCAACGTATCGTCGCTGCGGATCGGGTTTTACCCGAGCTCTTCTGGACGTGACCTCCACCTCCTCAGTTACCATATATAGGTAGAGTGTTGTTTCTAAGTTGCTACAGACAATTCCCCTCCTAGGATTCGGAAAGTGTTGCCTCACAGAGTCGAGTCATCCAGGGTTTCGGAGCTCATAGAAATGTTTCCGGTTCTCTCATATGCTTGCAGTAGTTTTGTAGTAAATTACTGGCACCTTGTTAGTGTGAAAATAATTAGATGCTTGTCCATTGAAGAATATGACATGCGCCGGCTGATCACACATACGAATGACCAGATTCCAGCCATCTGAAACAGTCGTAGGTATTTGAGCATTTCCTCAGCAGCAGGTATGCAGGACGATGGCCGAAGGGATGTGTTTCGTTTCTTTATTTGTCCTTTCAGTTGCCTCTGCCTCACCCATAGGTTGGTGTATAATAAGATGATTCCGTAAAGGGCGCTAATAAAGCTTTGTCCCAAAGGTCATGCGAAGTTATTTGCAGGTACACTTCCATCTCATCCTTGCTCTTAATAAACATGTCCTCGTGACTAAATTGTTGGATCACTCTCTGTTGCCCAGCAAAGACGGAAGCAAAACGTACTGATAACTAATAATTGCTAGGCAGTGGACACACAGTTGCTGGTAGTAACCCGTTTACACTTCTTTTTTTTTTTTTTTTTTTACAAGTTTGTTCTTTTCCCTGATCCGTTCCCACAAAGTTTCCCAACTTCCTAGATCACCTTTCTCACAAATCAAGCCAAGATCCATAACCACTTGGCGAAGCGAACATCAACTATGACGTTGTCACACCCATACTCAATCGACTTCACAATGGCCAAGACCGTCGCAAGCCTGAATGACGATACTGTTGTTAAGCAATTAACGTGGACCAATAGGGACCAGCCACTAGTCAATATGACGGACCCGATATACGAGGACTTGAGTCTAGCCCCCTCCGCCCCCCCCCCCCGGGGAGGGTTTATTCCTTCCAACTGCCCGAGTTACTTTAGAGTGGCAAACCTCCTCAGGAATTCTCCGACATGATTATTACCGCAGATTATGGTCCGAACGATTTTGTCCTTTGTTCGAGCTTCAGGTACAACTTACCATCTTATCCGCTCTCTCCGCGAATGGTCGACCCTGGTCAAGCCCGCCCCTTGTATAACTGTGGTGTTCTTCCGGGATGTCATTGGATGAGGAGCACTCAGTCGCCCGGAGTCTCATTATTTTCCTTGCATCCTCGATCCACTCATTTTGTTCTTTCGGCGAAATTTGGTAGGAAGACATGTCAAGGGCCATCTCTGTTGCTTCAGCTAGAGAACTCGTCGGCATTTTTGTCTGTCTTTTCCATCGTTCTTTTAACGATGGAAAATAACAAGATGTTGCATGGTGTGTTTGCTGCAGCCATCTTGCTTCATGACACATCGAACTCAGCCTCGATCCTGCTCTTGAGCATGAAGACTGAAAGCTGGATTCGAGTGAACATGGCGAATTGAAGTAGACTCGCCGCGCCCCTTGTTTCAGAAAAAGAAGACTTCGATGGCATTGTCGTCAAGCTTACTGACAGGGTTGTTGAGGGAATAGCTGAAAAACGACCTGATATCCACCCACCTGCCAGAGTGTCCCGGTACCGACCTCATTCGTAAGAAGATGGCCAGGGAAACATGGAAAGGATGTCCAGGAAGGATAAGACGTCCGTGGGAAGTTTCAAGCTTGATGATTAGATAACACGGATCTTCGATATCACTCCTAGAAAGAATCCCTCTCTCTCTCTCTCTCTCAGCACGCATACAGATCGTCTGTCGTCAGTGAGAACACGACATCTTCCACGCCGGTTCCAATTACAGAAGCAGCAGCGCCATTCCCAGAAGAGTCCCATCTGACTCCTAATTCTTCAACTGACAAATAGTCTAAGATCATAAATACCGTCACGTGATTTATCACGTGACTGTGACAACAGACAGAACAGCAATCATATCATAATATAGACCGCAGCCACAGGTTTTGTCCAATCAATGTCGTGTCACTTGGCTATTTTGCATCCTTGTATACGAGTTCATTGGTTGTTTGATTGCCCCTAAGCTTTGATATAACGAACATTGAAGGGAGTTCCCGCGTCGCTCACACACAGGAGACCAGGTGGGTCTACCACCCCTCCTTAAAACGGCAACAACTCCCAGGTCCTTAAGAAGGAAATGCGAGCATTGAAACTTATAACCACCAAGTGTACGAGATTTTACAACTTGAACATCAAGTTTTCTTTCTCCCTTAAGAATACCCGTGAGCCTAGGATCCAAGCACACACACACACACACACACACGCACACACACACACATACACACACATACAAACACCCCTCTCACCATGGTAACCCAATCGCCCCTTGCCCCCTTGTCCAACCCTTCTGTACTCAAAGAACTCATCTGGACCGACCCTCACGACCTCTCCCGGGAAATGCTCAACCCTATCATGCACGACCTCCATCTCAGCCCTCCATTATCCATCCCCCCAGTCGACTCATGCCCATCCCTCGGCCACTTTGCCAAAGTGCCGCGCGAAATCCCGGATAAAATTCTCTCATCCCTGGATTTGCAGAGTCTATGGTCTTTTGCGCGCGCCTCAAGAGGGGCGTATCAGATAGTCAATGGGCATTACCAGTATAGAGAGTTGAGGAGGCACGCGGCGTATGTAATTGCCGCGTTGTTTAGGACCCGGCTGGCGAGGGAGCATTCGATTGCGAGATTGTATGCGGCGTTGAAGGGGACAGAGTGCGCGACGTGCAAGCATTTTGGGGCGTATCTTTGGTTGCTGTCGGCAGAGAGGGCCTGTTATCAATGCATGCTGGAAAAGCCGGCGTATTCTTTCGTCTTGCCGAGCTCTGTTGCGGGGGCGAACTTGTGCTGGAGGGATAAAAAGGATAGGGAGAAATTGAGAATGTTTTATCCCGTGCCGGGAGAGTACGGCCCTTCAAAAGAGAGGAGGATTAAGGAGGGAACGGCGCTGATCAGCGCAGCGGAGGCGTTTGTGTTGAGCAAAAAGCTGGGAGAGCCCGGTGGGAGGTGGTTTGAGCCGGGCAGGATGGTCCAGGAGATAGAGGACAAGATGTGGGAATCGATACTGGCGGAGAGTTGGTATTTCCGGACGCGGGGGTTGGAGCCGTTCGCATTGTTCGCGGTGCCGTTCCCTTCTCTCAATAGCGACGGCACACCGAGGGAAGTTGGGTGGTGTGTGGGATGTAATATCCTTTATTCATGGCACTACGGGAAGGGGAAGGAGTATGAGAGGTATTTGCTGGATGATTTGGAGCCGCAGGAGAGAGAGAGAATAGAGCAGGGGGATACGATCTCGTTCATGATGCATGCAGACACACAGATCTCGGCTGTAAAGGTCGTGAAAGGGTATGGGGAGGCTGCCAGACGGGCTTGGCTGAGGGAAGAACTGGTAAAGAGGCATTTGGGAGAGTGTGATGGGGCGAAGTTGGTGAGGACGAGGATCCAAAAGGGGAAGTGGGAGGGAAGGCCGTGGTGGGTTGTCGTGCCGTTCGGGGGGTTTTAGTTGGTCTCTGGATGGCAAAGGTGAGATCCCGGTGAGTCTATGACTTTGGAATGTAAACATCTAGGGTATCTTGATCACTAATTTTCTCTTGCCAGGCTTGACCGAGTGTATAAAGAACCACCTGAAGGTAAAACGGGGTAGTACCATGGAGGTTGTCTATCTTCGAGACGAGCAACTATTAAGTGCTCATGACAGATGACAAGTACATATCATATATTTAACAGACCAATCTGTGCCAAACTCTCAAAGTTTCATTTATTTCGAGCAAGAAAACCTAAGACATTGGTTGTCTTAAAGCCTGTTGGCCTCCTTGCTGCGTTGTTGTCAACTCTGCCATGACTAACCCTCACTTTAGGGTCGCGCTAAGTAAACAGTCCGGCAATCAGCCCCTGTCTGACGTACCTTACAAATCAAGTAACCCCAATCCGAGACACTCCCTCCACCCTCCATCACACCCCAACTTACCACAACTTTTTGCCCATTTTGATTCCCGATTCTCAATGATGCGACCGAGCATGCAACGGGACGGCAGTTAGCATACAAACAGCATTCCTGCAGAACTCAGTTTTTTTTTTTTTTTTTTGCATCAATTTCCCCTCCGTGCCGAGGGACATGATACATCGGTATTACTAAGCTCCCGGAGCGGTGTACTCTTCACCATGACCATCAACCCCGAGCACCAGCACGTTGAGGACGACGTCTCTTCGGTGTCGCCTACAGCATGTGAAAACACTCCACTACTCGCATCTGAAACCTCTAGCTCCATCACCTCTCCGGAACTCGACTATGACCAAGATGCCTGCTCGGACCCGGAGAGCCCAACTTTAACCCCAACCCAAGGCCAGAAACCCCCTCCCCTGGGCTGGAAGCGAGCGGGTTGCATTGTCGTGAGCATGTGGGCGTTAATCTTCCTCCAAGGTACCTCTCCTCTCTCCCCTCTTTCCTCCCCCCCCCTTCCCCCCCAATGGTACTAATCCCTGGGAAGCAAGCAACATGTCCGGCCTGACCACAACCCTCTCCTCCATTGTCTCCTCCCTCCCCAACGCATACTCCTCCGCCCTCTGGTTTACCTCCTCCTATATGATCGCCATGTCATGTGTGTCACCCCTCGCAGGCCGATTAGCAACGCTCTTCCCTCCAGGAGGGATGGTCCTCTTCTCGGCGGTGCTCTTCGCCATGGGCGCGTTGTTGACGGCGATTGCACCGACCGTGGGGGTTTTTCTGCTGGGACGAGTGGTCTTGGGGCTGGGCAGTGGAGGTATCCTCGTATTATGTATGATCTTGGTGCTGGAGTTGGTGAGTGAGGAGAGGAGGGGGCTGTGGATTGGGTTAGTGAATGCGGGGTTTACGGGGGGCGTTTCGGTGGGCGCGGTGGTGTTTGGGGGGTTGGTAGATGTTGTTGGGTGGGTAGGTGTTTTGTTCTCTTGGGTATTTCGTTAAGGGGAGCATGGTGGCTGACGGTAAAGCAGAGAGTCTTGTTTGGTGCCCAGGCACCGATAGCACTGCTTGCTGGGCTTGGCGTTGCGATGAGTATACCGTCAAGTCACTGCCAACCGCCCCAGGGGAGAGGCAAGACTACGTTGCAAAAGCTGGCTGGGATAGATTACGCTGGCGCACTCACCTTGGTAAGCCGCTTCCCCTCTTTTATCCCCTGCTCTGCCCTCAGCAATCAAGACAAGTCTAACCGTCCAGACAACGACGATAACCCTCCTCCTGCTCTCCCTCACACCTCATCCCCGCCCGCTGCTCTTCCTCCTCTCCCTCTGCTCCGTCACTCTCTTCCTGCACATCGAACGCTCTCACCCCTCTCCCCTTTTGCCTTTGTCTATCCTCCTCTCCCGCCCGACCCTCCTCTCTTCCCTCGCCCAACTCCTCTTCATGGCCTCCCGCTGGGCCGTCCTCTACTACACGCCCATCTACATGCTCTCAGTCCGCGGAGCCTCCCCCAGCGTGGCAGGGACAATCCTCATCCCCACCAACGCGGGGTTCGCATTGGGAGGGCTCGTCGTGGGCTCTGTACATATTCGCCGGACTGACAGGCCGTATTGGACGGCGTGTGTAGTCTCATTGGGGATCTTTACCCTCTCGTTGTGGGCTCTGTCGAGGTTGGTAACGGCGACCTCCCCCCTAGCGGGGGTTGTCGTAGGTGTGGTGGTGAACGGATTTGCTACGGGCGCGGCGATAACTTACTCTCTACCGCACATGCTTGCCTTGCTTCCCCCTGAATCCCATCCCCTTGCTACGGGTGTATTGTCCACATTTCGCGGGTTTGCTGGATCCTTTGGTACCGCTTTAGGCGGCGGCATCTTCACACGAACCTTGCGAAACGCCCTTACGGAGGGGTTTGCCCGACTCGAGGGGGGATTGACGGAGGAGAGGAAGAAGCTGGTGGAGGTGTTACTGGGGAGTCCGGCCTCGGTGTGGGACGGACGGGTTGTGAGGAATGTGATGGAGAGGGAGGTTGCTGTGGGGGGGTATGAGGGAGCTTTGAGGGGGGTATTGGGAGCTGCTGCTTTGGTTGGGGTTGTGATAGTGGGATTGCAGGCTGCGACGGGATGGACAGGATACTTGGAGAGGAAACCAGGGAACGAGGAGTGTGAGGAGGAGGAGGAGGAGGAGGAGGAGGAGGAGGAGGAGGAGGAGGAGGAAGAGGAGTGTTTGTTGTGAGGGAGATGGACAACATACCTACACTACAGGAGTGAAGCATCGGTAAAGGAGATGATATAAGACCAGCGTAGAGAATATATCTAATATGGCATTATTCCACACCGACAGATCCACACAAAGGTCACGGAGGAATGACGTTGATAGGGGAACAACAATGATGATGATGATGATGATGATGATGATGATGATGGCAGCATGTATAAGCGAGGGTAAGAATTCACGAATAAGGGATATAATCAACAATTGAGGAACATTGATCTTAATCAGTTCTATACGCCATGCAAGCCCAGACCAAAACCCATAATTATATACAAAAAAAGAAAAAAAAAACAAAGTTTCTTCACCTCACTCCTCCCCTCAAAGCTTGGCCGACTTAGGCATAAACTTCATCGCCTGCCTAACGCCCAAATCACCCAGCACCTCTTCCGCACCACCAAGGATAGCATCGAACTTATACGTCCGGTTAAAGTTCTCAATAACGCGACCCATGCCCGTCTGCGTCAGGGCACGACCACCCCAGATCTGCACCGCCTCATCGGCAATCTCGTGCGCCGCCCGGGTAGCGCTCATCTTGAGCAGGGCGATGGGGCCGCCCAGATGCTTAGCTTGCTCGGCATAGGGCATGTGGCACATCTGGTAGGTGATGGACTCGAGCCAGGCCTGGTGGGACTCGACGAGGGCGATCATCTTGGCGAGCTTGAGGCGGATGACGGGCTGGTCGATCAGGCGTTTGCCGAAGACGAGGCGCTGGTGGGCCCACTTGAGGCATTCCTCGACCACGATGCGCGAGTAGGCGATCGACGCGCAGCACATGGTCCAGCGCTCGTGGTTGAAGTTGGAGAGGATGACGTAAATGCCCTTGTTCTCCTCGCCGAGGAGGTTCTCCGCGGGGACCTTGACGTTGTCGAAGGTGATGTAGGCCGTGCCGGCTGTCGTGGAATAAGAGGTCTTGATCTGCTTTGTCTCGACGCCCTCGCCGCGCTCGATGAGCAGGACGGACAGGCCCTTGCCCGTGCGCACGCCGACCACGAAGTAGTCGCAGAAGACGCCGTTGGTGATCCACTTCTTGGTACCGTTGACGATGTAGTGCTTGCCGTCGGGCGTCTTGACGGCGGTGGTGCGCAGGCCAGCGACATCCGAGCCGGCGAAGGCCTCGGTAATAGCAAGGCAGATCTTCTTGCGGCCCGAGAAGACGTCATCCAGGACGCGCTTCTTCAGTGCCTCATTGGTGCAGAAGTTGAGGATGCAGGTCAGGCCGATGACCATACCAGCCAGGTTGCCGTCCTGGAAGCCACGGCAGGCCGGGCGCACACCCTCTTGGCAGCAGATCATATCGTGGAAGTAGTCGAACTCCTTGCCGTCGACGGCGCCGTCCAGCAGCTTGACGCCGTGCAGGTGCTTGCCGGGGCCCATGCGCATGTGCAGGATGCCGGCCTTGGCCATGCGCTCGACGAGCTCCTGACTGACGTACTTGCCGTCCTTCTCACGCTCCAGAGCCTCGGGCCTCATGTACTTGTCGGTGAACTCACGCATGGCGCGCTGCAGACGGCGGTGGCTGTCCTTGAAGTAGGGGGAACGGAACTGGGGGCGCAGCCAGAGGGGCTCGGCGTAGGGCACCTGAGAAAGGTCGCCCGGCTCGGGGGTCACGATGCTCTGCTTCTCGCCGGCAATGGTGCCGATGGCCAGGTTGTTGTACTTCTGCAGCACCTCGTGCCGGTGCAGGTTGTAGAAGGCGACGGTGGCGTCCTGGCCGGCGACCTGGCGCAGCACGGCCTCACCACCTGGGTGAGCGTCGAGGAACTCGCTCACATCGTAGACGACGCTATCGATGATGAACCAAACGCTGTCCTCGGTGTTGTGCTTGGCCACCTCCTCGCGGGTGAAGGTCTTGTTGGGGGTCTGGAGCACGGTCGGCATCTTGACTGATTATATGTGTTCGTGTAGGATGAAAAAGACAAAAAATTGGTGAGAGAAGGCGAGGGAAGGGTATCAAGATCCAACACAGCAGCACCAGGGACAGTGTGAACAGAAAAAAGATGATGAGACAAGAGATGAACAGAATCAATCCAGAGCATCAGACACCTCTTATTTATTCCCCGTCCATCTCGGCCCAAGGCAAGGATTCGGCCTCGTCGGCCGGGCAGTGGAGGTGCGTTTCGGCTTCGACATCTTGGAAGCCTCGGCTCATGCACTTTTTGGTGTTACCCTTGGAGACGGCCAAGCCCCCCCAAGGTCGGTCAGGCTACCGGGGGCGATGGCCTGGGGTCAGTTTGTGGGGAACCCGCGCACCGTCGTAATCCAAGTCCTGTGATTGGTGAGTAACTCCCAATCCCCAGGCACTGGGTGGGTCGCACTAGCTTGGCATGGAGCTGCGCATGTGATTTGTGGGGCTCTGAGAACAGCTGGGGGGGGGGGAAAACACCTGGGGAAGTTCGGCCGACGAGAGAGGGTTGTTACAGAGCGCAGCGAGATCAGTAATCAGCAGCAGGAATCAACAAACGATCAGGAAATATGATTGTATGAATTATAGAGTATATATACTACCATCGGGTAGGTATCATGAGCATTCATGCCATAAGTTAAACATCATAAGATAATGGAGAGTTAGTTTGGATAGCATAGCCCACAGTGCGCCAAGCCACCGTCGTCATCCATTCGGGTTGTCGGCTGGGCTCGTCGAAGACCTGCCAAACCGACCAAAGTTGTTAAAACAATAAGAACCGAGACATTGGGGATACCGAGAAACTGTCACTGCCGTAGTGCCGGCATGCAGCTCCAGATCCCTAACTTCCAACTTTCAGCTGTGACAGCTTCCCCGGATGTTTAGTGTTGGGGCCTGGACTTCGGCTTGTTTATGCCTGAGGCAGCTAACCCCTCATTGTGGATCCGTGGGTCGACCCCTCACGGGAATCAAGAGGCTCGGAGCGTCGGAGCCTCGGCCTACCGTTGGCTGCTTTGGGTCGGAGCAAAGGTGCAAGCATCAACGCGTGTGGCCAATTTTGAAGCTCGCAGGGCAAGTCGACGCGTAAGGATTGCCTTGGCCCGATTAATTAAGCTTGCAGACAAAGGTGTCATTGTCAAGGTGTTTATTTAGACCGTGAGGTGAGCCTGCGGGCTGTTATCTCTGGAGTCAGTCGGCTTACCGTTTTGTTTTGTTTTGTTTTGTTTTGTTTTGTTTTTGTTTTTTGATAGACGTGACTTTTTGTCGAGGGACAACGGAGAGATCTTGGTAGATCTCTCCAGAGAGAAAAACGGGGATCGGAGTGGGCCCAAAATCGAGCTGGAACACGGAACTTGGAGATCTGATCTTGATCTTGGGATCTTGATCAAACAGTATCACTAACAACATTTCATTTCATCATCTGTGCTACCAGCACACTCATTAAGGCAGAACTGTGGTGCCTTATCGATGCAGCTGGGCGCCAGCTTGTCTCTTATGCAACGGCTGCATCGTGATCGGCTTCAACTTCGGTGTTTTATGTAAGTAGCTTAGGTTCTCGTTTTTTCCTATCTTTTTGCCCTTTTTTTCCCCTCCTCACCGTCTTTCTTACCGTTTCTTCATCCACACACACCACATTACAGACACACACCCGTCTAGTACACCCAACAACCACACCGCACTGGATGGTTTGCCTACTACCACAGCACATTCCATCAACCCTCACCAGCCTAAATGTCACCGCTCCCTGCTGCCAGGTCAGACGCCAGCCCGTTCCCGACACAGTGGCAGCCTGACTCTTGAGTGGCTATTGGCCCCGCAAAACACAAACGTCCAATGAAGCTCGCGACCGGAGCCACGCGCCGCTCGCCGTGATAAACCGAGACGGGTCAAGTGGCCTATCGGTTGTCGGTGCGGTCGCTGTGTCGCCGCTTGCTGACTCAATGAAATGTGCTTCGATGAATCAGAGTCGATCCCTGGATGACGGGTTGCATGCGGCAGGGGTAGACTGAACGGAACGGGGCAAAAATACGGCAATGGCAAGGGACAGTTGCTCTTGCACGATTTTTTTTTTTTACCCCCTTGGTAGTGTTTGGGATTCCATGATTCCTCAACGGCAGTTCCAATCTCTGGATTGTCAGGCTATCTATCAGCTGAGCCTGACAGCTAGCTGAGCTGGAGCTTCGACCATCAATGGCCGTGGCCACGGCTGGAGATCCGGTATGCTGGCTCGAGTAAGTGCTGACCAGCAACAGCTCATGGCGCCCATTCATGACCAGCTGGCATTCTCACGACGACAGCTGTGACCTTGTCTCAAGTGTAATAAGCTTCAATTTTGACTTTTGAAACTTCAACTTCGGTCGAAGGGGTCGCGTGAATGATTCTCTGCCACTTTTGTTGTTGATCTTCAAGTCCTTAAAAACGGTGCTGGGTTGGTTGGTTGGTTGTGTATCGCTGGTACCTCCCCTCCCCTCGCCTCGCCTCGCCTATCCTCGCCTAACCATCTAATTTCTGGACATCCTGCTCTACAATATAGCTATAGAGATAGGATACCAGATACTACTGCATCACCCTTTTTTTTTGTCTGTATCACATCACAGCCGCCGCAGCCCGCAGCTACCTGAGTCGCTATCGTTGCACAAACCTGGTGTGATCCGCAGCTCCTAAAGCTGAGCCGTGTTTTTTACTACACTACATTGTCTATCTAACTTACCTCTGACTCCAATTCACTTATCCATCCCCACCATATTTACACACACACCTGTCGTCCCCTCATCTACAACGATCCATCGGCACTAGTCGCAGATCAATCCTTCACCGACTAGGCCAGGTCGACGGACGGATCTTGTCCTCCCGTTGTCTCGACTACGTATCCGTCAGCTCGGTTTGCCTAGTTCACTCCTCCCGGTCCCGGAGTGATCGGCTCTTTCTCCAGGCGTTATCGGTTCGCCGCTTATACATATCGCGTGGTGTCTGATAGGGCCGTCTTCTCATTCACTCAATTACTCACTTCACTCTTTTGTTTGAACTAAGACTCGAACACTCAATTGCTTCTTACTACTCTGCTTTTTGAAACGACGTTTTCAACAGCAAAAAAAAAAAACCAAAAAACACCAAAAAAAATGGATGCTAAACGAATGTCTTTCCCCAGCGCCAGCCGCAAAAACCCCAAGATCCTTCAGGATCTGCACAACTCGCGCTTCTTCCACTCTTTTGCTTCCTCCAGCACGCCTCGCCCATCGAGCATCATGGATAGCGTCCGGAAGGTATCTTCTACCCTTAACCTCCACAATAACTTCATCTTTTGATATTAACAAGCGGCCCCCCCCCCACCTGCCAACAGCTCGAAACCCTCTCCCCCTCTTCCCGCAAACCTCTTCACGTCGGCATTATAGGCGCAGGTTTCGCCGGTTTACGCTGCGCCGATATCCTCCTTCGCCACGGCTCCCGCGTCACCCTCCTTGAAGCGCGCAACCGTCTCGGAGGCCGCATCCATCAAGAACGTCTGCCCAACGGCCACCTAATCGACGTGGGCGCGAACTGGATCCACGGGACGAAAGATAATCCGATTTATGACCTGGTCGTCGAGACAAAGACGCCGACGGGCCAGTTGGATGAGCATACCTATGTGTTTGATGAGAATGGGGAGCTGTTGGAGGTGGAGGAGAGCGAGGAGCTGGCGACGGTCATGTGGGAGGTTATTGAGGCGGGGTTTCGGTTTTCGGAGGAGAGGACCGGGGAGATTGGGGAGGGGAGTACGTTAAAGGAGTGGTTTGAGAAGGAAATTAGGGAGAGGGTACCCGAGGGGACGATGGGGTGGGAGAGGAGGAGACGGTTGCTCATGCAGATGGCGGAGTTGTGGGGGAATTTTGTGGGGAGTCCGTTGGACAGGCAAAGTCTCAAGTTTTTTTGGTTGGAGGAGTGTATCGAGGGCGGTAGGTGTCCAAGCGGCTGTGTTGCTGATGAAAGAAAGAAGTCTAATCGAGAGTTGGTTAGAAAACCTCTTCTGCGCGGGTACGTACCACAAGGTCCTTGAGAAGGTGGCCCAGCCGGCGAGAGACGGCGCGACGATACGTTTACAGACAAGGGTTGTTGAGATTCTGGGGAGATCGGCGACCCATACGGGGAACGTTGCCGTCAAAACGGCTGCTGGGCAGGTCCTCGAGTTCGATCATGTTGTCGTTACCTGCCCGCTGGGCTGGCTTAAGCGGAATCTGCATGCTTTCCACCCCCCGCTGCCAGACAGGCTGTGTAAGGCTATCGGTAATATAGGGTATGGCAACTTGGAAAAGGTTAGTCCCTCCCCCGTTCCAGCATCGACGTCCGAATCTGACTAATATCCCAGGTCTACCTCTCCTTCCCAACCCCCTTCTGGCTCACCCCGGACCCCCAAACCTCCCAAACCGTCCAAGGCTTCTGCCAATGGCTCGCTCCAACCTACGCCCCCCAGACCAATCCCAACCGCTGGCTCATCGAAACCGTCGAGCTCGCCTCCCTCCCTGGCCCCTCCGCCCACTCAACCCTCCTCTTCTACACCTTCGGTGACCAGGCCGCGCACATCACTTCCACTTTGCGTTCCCTCCCCGACCAAAAATCTCGCGAGCAGTTTGTCTTTGAATACTTCCGGCCCTATTACTCGCTCCTCCCGTCGTACGATCCCCAAGACAAGAATTGTCAACCGACGGCTTTCTTTGCGACAGATTGGGAAGGGGATGAGTTAGCGGGGAACGGGAGTTATGCGAACTTTATGGCGGGACTGACGGAGGCGGATCGGGATATTGAGGTTATGAGGGAGGGCGTGCCGAGCGAGGGAGTGTGGATTGCGGGGGAGCATGCTGCGCCATTTGTGGCCTTGGGGACCGTCACGGGTGCGTATTGGAGTGGTGAGGGGGTCGGGAGGAGGATTTTAGATTTTAGTAGGGAAGGGGCCTAGGGGGCTGATTTGGGAGAAGAAGATGAGGGGAAAAGAAATGTCCAGGAAGCAGACGAGGGAAAAAGAAAAGAGAGACAACTTGAAGAGCTAAGCGGAGATGAGAGGAAGGGAAAGAAAATTAAAAGTGGTAAGACAAGGGGGAGATGACTAAGAGGGCTGTATACCTTACCTATATATATATATATGACATTTGGAGCTTCGACGGGGGAAGTGTTGAGCTCCTGGCATTGCATCTACATACCTACTTGGAAGTACAGGATTATTAAAGGGGAGGGGAGGGGGCGCATTCTACCGGCAGGTTTTCAGGAAGTTGTGATTTTTTTTTTTTTTCGTTGGTCTTTTTTTTTTTTTTTAGAGTTGGGTGTGTGGTTTGGCGTCTGTAAGTCAGTCTCAGGCTGAGAAGGTATTGAATGGCATGTTTTCTCAACTTTGGGAATAATCATCCCTGAAAATTTTGCAATAATCCTCCCCGTGATATTGGGAACTGTATTTGCATTTTATTATTATATAGGTAAGCACACTAACTGCTAGTGATCAATTGTCGTCCTCCAATGAAGTGATGTGGGGTCAAAACCCATGAATCTGCGACTGAGAGGAAAAATATGAACCAGCCAAAGGCATTGGAGAGAGGTTTGCTCGCCTCATCTTCAAAACGATCCACTCAAGGAGCTCATTCTCTCCCGAGCTCCCCCCGAGTCAAGCGGCAGTTTACAAACGACCACATGCTTGTGCAACTGACTTGAAACTTTACCCTGCACTTGCATCGCGGCTGCAGATCGTTAACTTTTAGTCCGCCTTGAGCAATAGCACTGTATCCGTAGCCGGTGATGCACAGTACCGGCGTTGCATGATGCATCCCCGTGCTGGACTTGAGCTTTGCCAAAGACAAGGGGATTTTTTGCCCATTCTTCCTATCGTCCGTGTACTTGCTCCAAAACGGCCAATGGCTGTGGTGAGGAGAGAAAACCGGCTGGGAGCGCCATGGCACGGTCTTCGCACTGCCACGGCACTATGAACAGGAAAAACACCCATGGATGCGCTGAATGGACCAGGTTGATGAGTGGTTAGTATCGAGGGGGAGAATTCAATGCAGCATTTTCGGCTGATTGTATATCCTATCGGCGAGTGACTGAATGATCCATGATGTGCTCTTCCAACTGTCTGCCTGTTTACGAGTTGCGTTTGGAGCTGGTCCAGCCGGAGGGTAGTCCACCTCACCCGCTGAAGATCTTCCCCCCCCCGCCTTTGGTGTGGGGGTCGCCTGGGGTACCACGTCCAATCCCAAACAGGCCTAGCCCAAGCAACTGTCCCCGATAATGCGGGCCCACTTTATTGGAGCGGGCCCTGTATGCTAACCAGCCCCTCGTCATCGCTTTCTCTGCTGTCAGTCACGGGTCACGGGCGCATGCTTGCTTGCTGCCGCCTAAACCGGCTGGGGGTTGTATGGAGGGTGTGACCTTAGTTGTTTTTTTTTTTTTTTTTTATCTTTTGAGGCCTTGTGGTTTCGCGTCAACCGTTGACTCCGTCAAACTCTCCCATCGTCCAACCTGTCAAGAGGTCCCGGCACCTCCTGTGTGTTGTGTTGTCTGTTTTCCTGAAGTCTCTTGTCAGCATTGCCTCTCTATCTCTGTTCATCGTCTCTTGTGTTGTTGTCGTTTGTCACTGTCCTGTCACTGTCCTGCCACTGCCTGGACTCCACTGTCAGCTGTCCCAATCTGTCATCGTCCCCTCATCAACGACAACGTTGTCCTCTTGCAGTCTCAGATCAGTCTCGTTGGTTGTGTTGGGTCTGTCTGGTTTGCTTTTTGGCTCACGTCTTGTTTTGGTATACGGTTTCCTACGTACAACTATCTGTGTCGTTTTTTAAGTTTCAAGTTTCAACTCTCAGCCCAAGCTGCAACCTGCATCCACTCTTCGTCTTTGCCGTGCCGTCAATCGTCATCCATCATCCTGTGCTTATCGATATCGGCGCGCCCGCTATCAGACCTCCCGCTTCGCTGTGTCCGGCCTCGCACGTTGACCTCTGAACTCTGACCTCTCTTGACCACTGACCGTCGTCCACTAACCACACACTACCAAACAACTTGACTGGACGGGCCTTTACGGTTCTTGCTTACACACGTACACACACACACACACACACACACACACATACTCTCTCTCTCTCCTCTCTCTCGCATCCCCGCGATGACGACGACGCAACCCGCCTCAACATGACCTTTTCCGCATCGCTGCTGCGTCAAACCTCACCTATCACCTTGTCCTCGCCGGCCGCTACACACCCTTCCATTTCTTCTTTTTCCTCTAACTGAGTGGCCTTTGAGCCCCGAAGCCTCCCGGCTACTGCACAGCGACTGAGCCATTGAGTGACTGGGCTGGGGATTTGCATAGTTCCTCAAGCGCATCTCCCGCTCTCTCTCTCTCTCTCTCTCTCCAGATATCCAGATATATACACACACACACACACACACACTCCTGCAGAGCTGCCTGCTAGGAAAAAGAATACAACACCTACAGACAAACAACGCTAACCCGTTCTCTGCTTCTCTACCGTACTCGACTCCAACACGACACTTGAACCGAATTCTACTCTAAACCCCCCCCCTCCCCCCGGGCGTTGCGTCGCACCGCCACCATGGCGTCCTTTTTCCAGAGCTTTCGCAGCTCTGTCATGCCCAAGCGCTTGCTGCGTTATGCGCTGTCGCGCTTGGACTTCCTCGACACCGATGCCCTCGACCTGGAGAATTTGGACTTTGCCCTCGGCCGGAATACCGTACTGGAGTTTCGGGATGTCGGGCTTGTACTTGCTGTGTGTCCCCGTCTTCTTTTTTTTCTTTTTTTCTTTTTTTTTTTTACCCTTGATGATACCTATGCTATACTGCGTGTCCGAGTAGCTGACCATTGGTTGTGTGCGGATTAGAAGCTTGAACGTCTGCTGGGCCTGCCGCCCGCCTTCTCCCTGCAGAAGGCAAAGGTCCTCATCCTCAGGGTGACCATCCCCATGGACTTCTACACGAGCCCTATCGTAGCAGAAGTCGATGGCGTGGATATCCGGGTGAAGGTGTCACATAATAAGGCAGAGACTGATGATATTCAGAAAGGGAAGGGGTCTACGGTAGGGGAGGATATTGTGCCCACGGCCGCGGACCTGGCCCAGTCTTTCCTGGAGACGCAACCCCCCGCCGAGAAGAAGCAGCTAGAGGAGGCGATAGCCGCGGAGACGCAGGACCTCGGCGCATCGATCCTGAGCGAGTCTGAGAGCAGTGACGATGACTCGACGACCGGCACCGGCCAGCCTCTGTCGTTGCCGGTTTTTCTCACGGACTTCCTCCAGGGAATCGTAGACCGTATGCAAGTTCGCATTGGGACGGTTACCTTCCAGGGCGATGTAGAAGTCCCCGTCGACCCAGACGTCGCTGCGCCAGAGACAGTCACATTCCAGCTATCCCTAGAGAGCATCAATGTCGAGGGTGTCACAACGCTCCCCGACACGGCAGACGGGAACAGCTGCACGCACGCGGTCGTGCACAAAGACGGCAAGCGGCATATTCTGCTGAACAATATCCGCGCAGCGCTGATATCGGAGGCCAACGTGTTTGCCTCGCTGGGCCCGTCCCCGTCGATGCACTCGTCCTTGGCGTCGAAGTCGCCCGTAGCGAGCGAGGAGCCGAGGGCGCCTAACCTGGCTGAGAGCGTGAGCCGGCGGTCGGGATATGGGTCGCTTGCGGGATCTGCTGCGCAGCTTCAGCCGCTTTCGTCGAGTCGGCAGTCCTCGGTGAGGGACAGTGAGGAGGCGCTGGGGATTCCGTATGATTTTGGTGAGGATGAGACAGACGAACAGGAAGAACAGGGGGGGCCTGCCTCGTCGCTGTCTACTCCGAGAGCGTCGTTCCATCAGGATTTGTTGTGTGAACGGCCGACTGCTCTGTCCAGGGATCCGGCCAAATCGACGGTTGTTGAGAGGTTCCGTGGCGAATGGTCGACCTACGAGCGCGAGGCGAGGTCTGAGCCGGACCTGCGACCGCCGGAGGGGTTTTCGCTTTCGACAACGCAGTCTCCCCAGGAGAGTATCCATTCCTCGGGGTCTGCATCCGCACAGAGCTCGCGGCGCGCGAGCATAGAAGACTTGACGCAGTCGCAGCTGTATAGTCATGAAGATGCCGAGAGCATGTACATGAGCGCCTTTTCGGAGGTTGGCTCGTCGAAGATGCGCACCGCGATGCCCGGCGCGTGGGAGGACTCCGAAGACTCGCAGCAGCAGGATGAGCCGCCGAAGGACGAGGAGTTTGGTACTCGGTCGGCGGCGGCGAGTACGCCGCCGTTGGAGGGCCCGCCCCAGGCGAGAGAACGGGTTGAGAGCGAACCAGCCGAGGAGGGGGAGCCTCCTCAAGAGCTGCTGCAGCAAGAGATAGAGCAGCTGCCAGAGCTGTCTGCCCAGGAGCCAGAGCCAGCGCCGCAGGACGATGTCCCGACTCCTCGTGGGCCGACAAGGTTGGCAAAGGAGATCATGTTGCTGGATTCGATTTCGGTTTACCTGCCTACAGCGCATAAGCATCTGCAGGTTACCACGCCCGACCTGGCGAGGTCTGTCTCGCCTAATGTGCCGGGGGCTTTTTCGGTTCACTCTGCGGCCGGCAAGAGTCAGATACTCCCCATGACTCCCGCGCGCGCTGAGCACAGCTCCACGGATGGAGCTATCGAAGTGATCATGAAGCCGTTGGATATCCGATTTGATGCATCGACCGGCTTCCTCCTGGCCAAGGTCATATCTAGTCTGCTGGAGGCGCTACAACAGAGCAGCGAGCCGACCCGTCCCGCTCACAGCAGTAACGACAAGTCCGATGCCACTCCCAGCACTACCTCCCCCCTCCCCGACCTACGCATTACCCTCGAAGGCCTCTCGATCCAGTTCCTCGAGAAGCTCGCTGGCGTAGCCGACACCCCAAGCCGCATCTTCTCCAGGCACAACGACAGCACCCCCGGCAGCAGTGACTTCCCCTCCGACGTACTCCTGCTGCAGGCCAAGGTATCCAACCTCCACGCTTCTGTTACGTCCCACGCGAACGGCCAGCCCGAGGCGAACATCACAGCAGAGAAGGTCTCATTCGGCTACGCCGACGATGATATCCTCGCCTTCGACAGGTCCGTGCAGCTGTTCGAGTCCATCGCGAATACCTTCCCCTCGGCAGGGAGTGACATTGCCGTCAGGGTGAGGAATGGGCCGGAGGAGGTCAGGGTGGAGGTGAATGCGTTGCCGTTGCATGTGAAATTGGATTTGCAGAGGTTGGATGAGACCTTTAGTTGGTTTGGTGGGCTGAGTAGTTTCATTAACATGGGCACTTCCTCAGCCACGCCGGGCCAGAAGCTTCCTCCCCCAAAACCGCAGAAAGGTGTCAGATTCGAGACCCCCGACGAGGAAGACCGCGCACGGGGGAAGGAGCAGAAGGTGGATTTGAGGATCAACGGGACCCGGGTGGATGTCATCGGGAAGGACTGCAGTCTTTTGCTCAACACCAGCGCCCTGAAGCTTGTCAGTCGTGGTGAGGGGATCGGCATGCACTTTAGTCGGATCCGGCTTTCGGGACCTTACCTTCGCTCGTCGAGCGCCGTTGGCCCGCCGATCTTGACCGAAGTCGAAAACACCCGCGTCGACTTTATGTTCTCTCCGCGCCCGAAGGACTTGGAACGCTTGCTCGAGCTGATCACGCCTTCACGACACAGATTCGATGAGCGCGAGGACGAGATCATGGTGGATACCTTACTCCGCCAACGCCGCAAGGGGTCGGTGCTGTCATTGACCGTGGGCAGAGTCAAGATCGAGGCGGATAAGCTTTCGCAGCTGGCTTGTCTGCCCAGTCTGGCGGACGACCTCGCTAAGCTAGGGACTGTGGCGAAGTACCTGCCCGAAGATGATCGTCCGGGCTTGTTGACCCTGTGTCATGTGAGGGAGATTGATGTTGGCGCTGATCTCGCGGGACGCATGGGCACCATCCAGGGGGCATTCACCGATCTCGAGATAGCGCATATCACCGTTCCTGCCCTGGTAGCCGTCGCGTTGGGCAGATTGTCTGTCAGACGCAATGGCTCCGAAGAGTTGGTCTACACATCTCCCGCACCCACACCCAGCTCGGTCCCTAAACCACCCGTCGTGATGATGCGCTTGATTGACGACCTTGAGCCGGTGCTGAAGGTTAATCTGATGGGCTTGGCCGTGGAGTATCGTGTGCCAACAATCATGGATCTGCTCGGGCTGGGGGAGGATGCGACACCGCAGGAGTTTGAGGCGGGGTTGGCCGCGTCGGTGGCGAATTTGGGGGAGCAGGCGCAGGCTGCGTTGAAGGGGACTGCCCCATCGCCGGAGAGGGAGAAGGATCCGTTGGAACGGCAGGCTAAGCAGCAGATGAAGCTGGATGTCAAGTTGCTCGATTGTGTGGTTGGGTTGAATCCGCTGGGGTTGAAGTCCAAGCTGGCGGTGGTGTTGACGGATGGGAGGTTGGAGGCTTCCCCTGGCGGGGATGGGAAGCAAGGGGATACGGTGAGTGCGTCGCTGGCGCTCAAGAAGGCCGCCATCCTGCTGGTCGACGACGTCGCCGTCCTCTCGTCAACCGGCGGCTCGTTTACCTCCACCCGCCGCTCGCACGCCGCGCTGTCTGCCCAAGCAGCAGAGATGTGTGCCAAGGGGTACGTCAGCATCTGCCAGATCTCGTCGGCGCGCATGGGCGTCAAGGCGATGAAGGACTCCGAATCCGGGGATACCCGGTTGGAGGTCGAGGTCCGGGACGATCTTCTCGTGCTCGAAACCTGCGCCGACTCGACGCAGACGCTGATCGGGCTTGCGAACGCACTGGCTCCGCCTACCCCGCCGGGCAGGGAGAATAAGTTCCGCACGGAGGTTGTGCCGGTGGAGGATTTACTCGCGTCGATTACTGCGGATGCGTTTGGACGTGCCGAGGGGGATTATGATTTTGATAGGGACTTTGCTGCTGTGTCGCAGGACACGGATGCGGGGAGTGAAGGGGAGGATTTCTTTGCTGGAGGAGGGGGGGGATCCGGGGCAAGTAGCCAGCTGCACTTTGACCCGAATTACTACGACCGCCTCGAGGGCGAGAAGGAGGCGCTGTTTGATGCGACGGAGGAGGAGTCGGTCATGATGGCGGGCGATACGAGGGTCGAGGAGACCAGTGATGGGGTGCTACTCTCCAACACGGCAGACTCGGGGGCTCTGGCTGGCGACAGTAGCAGCGAGGAGCTGACGGTGCAGGAGAACTACTTTGCGCAGCGGAGAGCTGTGCAGGGGACCGCCCATCGCTGGAACTCTGCAAAGAATACCTACGATCGCGCAAACGACGATAAGATCCGGCGTAGCCCCCTCAAGGTGTCGGTCCGGGACGTACATGTCATTTGGCATTTGTTTGACGGGTATGACTGGGCGCGCACCAGGGAAGTCATCACCAAGGCGGTGCAGGATGTGGAAGCGAGGGCGTATGAGCGGCGTCGGGCGAGGGGTGATCGACGGAGGAGAGGGTTTGATGAGGAGGATGAGGAGGAGGCGGTCATCGAAGACTTCCTCTTCAACTCAATCTACATCGGTATTCCGGCCGGCCGTGATCCGAAGGAGCTGTCACAGGCCATTAACGAGGCGCTGCACGACACGGCCGATACGGAGACTGTCATGACCACGCCCACGACGACCACGTCCGCACGGCCGATGGGGCATCGGCGGACAAAGAGTAAGAATGGCACGCTTAAGCTGGGCCGCAGCAAGCATCACAAGATCACGTTCGAGCTGAAGGGGGTGAATGTTGATTTGGTGGTCTTCCCGCCCGGCTCGGGGGAGACCCTCAACTCGATCGACGTCCGCGTCGGAGACCTCGACATCTTCGACCACATGCCCACCTCGACCTGGAAGAAGTTTGCCACCTACGACATGGACGCCGGCGAGCGCGAGCAGGGCGCGAGCATGGTGCATCTCGAGCTCCTCAACGTCCGGCCTGTCCCCTCTACCCCTGCGTCGGAAATCGTCCTCAAAGTCAGCGTTCTCCCCCTCCGCCTGCATGTCGACCAGGATGCGCTCGATTTCATCACCCGCTTCTTCGAGTTCAAAGATGACAACGCCGCCCCCTCCGTCCCGCCATCCCCCTCCGATATTCCGTTTATCCAGCGCGCCGAGATCAACGATATCCCTGTTCGTCTGGACTTCAAGCCCAAGCGAGTCGACTATGCGGGTCTCAGATCCGGCCGCACGACGGAGTTTATGAACTTTGTCATTCTCGAGGACGCGCGCATGGTTTTGCGGCATGTCATTCTCTACGGCGTGTCGGGTTTCGATCGGCTGGGGAAGCAGCTGAACGATATATGGATGGATAACGTCAAGCGGACACAGTTACCGTCCGTGCTGGCTGGTGTTGGACCCTTCAGGTCGGTTGTTAATGCCGGCGCCGGCATCCGCGATCTGATCGAGATTCCGATCAGAGAGTACCGCAAGGATGGGAGGATTGTACGGAGCATCAAGAAGGGCGCGACAGCGTTTGCTCGCACCACCGGCATTGAGGCTGTCCGGTTAGGAGCAAAACTTGCCATCGGCACGCAGAATGCGCTGCAGAACGCAGAAGGCCTGCTCGCCCCCCCGTCTTCCTCCGGCCATCACCACCATTCGATGGAGGATTGGGACGCCTCTGAGGCAGAGGACCTCACCCCGGACGAAGTCCCCCCGACAACCCGCAAAACTTCCCTCTACGCTGACCAACCTTTGGGTATTGTCCAGGGCATGCGGGTTGCATACCGCAGCTTGGCGCGCGACCTGGCTGTCGCGCGCGACGCAATCATTGCTGTGCCGGCCGAGGTCATGGAGACGGGGAGCGCGCAGGGCGCAGCTAAGGTTGTGTTGCGCCGGGCGCCGACGATTATTCTGAGGCCGGCGATTGGTGCTACAAAAGCTATTGGACAGACTCTGTTGGGGGCGACGAATAGCCTTGATCCAGGGCAGAGGAGGAGGGTGGAGGCGGTAAGTTTCTGCTATCCTGAGATGTTGACTTTGGGTTAGGCTAACGACGTGGCCAGAAATATAAGCACTGAGCTTTCGGGACAGAGTCGATGACTTGAGGAACAGATTATGGAAGGAGACGGAGACGGGGTTTGTGCATACCACCGGTCTAGGGAAGGGGGGAGGGGCCCCTATCTTGGGTCTGGGTTTGGGTTCGTTTTCCTTCATGCTTGTCTCTTCTCCATATCGTACCTACGTACACACCACACAAGGATAGTATCATTTGAACTTCATTCGGGTTTGGGTTCTCTCTCTCTCTCTCTCTCTCTTCTTCTTTTTTCGTTTTTT